ATCTGTATTTTATATATAATATAATCATATTTATGTGCATCTGTCACAAATAAATATCTTGAAATTTGATAAGAACAATAAGAAAAAATAATACAAAATGTAATATAAAAAAAAATGGAAGAACAATATAGTTTACATGTAATCGTATTTGTGCGTAAATTATTTTAGCAGTTCCGCTTTTCTTTGTATCTAAAATATTTTCGTAATATGAACGCATTTAACACAAATGATGTATATCGTCGGATGCGTGCTGTCCCTACCCTCCCCCAATTTATTGCACATCCATTTAATTAAGAACGTTCATTTTGTTATGTGCTCGAAAAGTTGCACCTGTGACAATGTGTGACGCAGTGGAATGAGCTGCTCAGTTGCGCCTTTGTTTTATAACGTGCGTAACTTTTATGTTTGACTTTTTGATACTCGTATACCATTTTGAGAATCCTTTTAAAAAACTTGATGAATAAAAAATCGAATTGTAGTGTAGGAACTTTTTTATGATATATTTAAAAAAATGAGATCGTTCTTAGATCTTATTTTTTTTTGTATCATATAAGTTACGTGATATTTTCAGTGAATGTGAACCGATTTTGATGATTTTTTTATCAAAACACAAACATTTGCAAACGTAATGGTTCCATAGTAATTTGTTTAATATTAAATAAGGTTAATTTCCAAAAAGTTTGAATTATACAAAAATATCGAAATATATAATATAACTTAAAGTTCTTATAATGTGTTAGTTTGTTTGTTAACTGTTTACTTCTGAATGGGTTAACCAAATGATAAAATTTACCATGAAATTAGTAAGTATCTACCTATTTGACATAACATACGTTGTTTGTGTTTAAGTCAATTAATATGTTTTGTTCCCGCAGACAAAGCCGCAATTACATTTAGGATATTTGTACAAAAATCTGAATAGAATATATATACCTACTAGTAGAAATAGATCTAATTGAAACAATAACTGTGTATATCTCTGATTAAGTAGAAAAAGTTATTCATTAATTGTTTCTGAACATTTTTTTTTTGCAGCACAAAGCGAGCTTATTTTTAAATTTAAATACATATTTTTATATTTATTTTCCTATAATTTCAAAAATAATAGCAAACTATATAGTTTCATTCAACAAAAAAAAATTGATACTTCATTGCAAGTATTAAAAATATTTAAAGAGAAACAAAGGATATTCCTTGAATAGGTGTACCTACCTTAATTAAAAAGTTAGGCGTTTCTGAGTGAATGCCTAACCATATTTTTGATATTTATTATAATTAAACCATTCTGACTACAAACTTCTTTAATTCAGAGAGCGTGTTCGCCATAAATTAAAATAAAAACGTACCTCCACAAGACGTGATTGAACCGAATCTCCTTATTTTAATTTTTGATTTCGGAAAAAAACAAATATTGGATAGTTAGGTACAGTTTTTTTATTTATTAAAAAGTATCTATGATCCACTATTAAATTTAGGTCTCGCTCATATTTTATCATTAAGTACCTACGATCCTGCGCCGCTTGTATTTAGTTCTGCAACATTTTTGAGATTGTTACTCCATCTTGCAAGGGGTCGCCCCACACTACACTTATTTATATGGAGTCGCCACTCGGGAATCTTCCTTCCCATCGGATGTCAGATGCTTAAATTATATGGCCGCTTCAGCTTTGAGATTCTTATATATCGGTCTCTTTAGTTCTTTTGCAAATATCGGTATTATTTTGTTTCGGGCAAAAAGATTTGGATTTCTATATCAAAGTTTTTTGTTTGATTTTATGTTGTTTACTTGCATACCTACAACTATTTAAATAAATTATTTCCTTTATGATATTTTCACAATTTCCTTTATTTTGCCATTGTACCTCATTTTTTTTAAAGTATTTAATGGTTCATAGGTAACTAGTACTCTGCAATATTTAAATACTATAGTACATATATACATGCATAAAGTACATAAAAAATATAATGTCATAGTACATATCACTTCGATGAATATAAATTGCAACCAAAACGTTAATGTATAATTACACAGACTTGAACGCCGCGAATATGTCAAAGCGTTTGAAAAACAGAATCCATTACAGGCAAAGTGAGTGCATAATCCCTTTCGCCAGTTTTACTCAGTACTATGAGTGAAAACGAATAAATCCAAAGTGAAGTTACATTCGTATTAAGATGGCCTATTTTCAGCAGTGGACAGTTAACGATTTAGTTACGACGATACGATACGACGAAGTTACATTCATTTTCTTATGGATCTTATGGTTAGACGTACCTAAACTGTTGTAGTAAGCCCTAGCAATGGTCTAAAATCCACTGAAAATGGAAATGTTCACCCTTAGAATATTATTTGAACGTAAGTGCGCACTAAAATGAAATATCCTGCTACTTCCTGGAATGAAACATAATGGGTTTCGTGTGGGTAGACACATAAAAACAGCTTTTATCTTATTTTTACACTTTATAATTCCAATGCAAAGGAAGGAGGCAGGTAATAGCAACTCCTTTTCTGACAATACGCACGGTCGACCTTCACGCGGTTTTCCCTGAAATTAAACTTGTCAAATGGCTGGGAAATCCGGGAATATCCCGGAAATTTTCATCTTGTCCCGTGTCCAACAATTGGATTATTGTCTCGGATTCTTAACACCTACCTACTAGTTTTATAAATAAAATCGCCAATACGATATGCACGAAACAGACACTAGTTTGTATTAATCAATAAGTACATAAACTAGGTGCTCAAATCTGGTTATTTCTTATTATTTTAACAGATGAAAATGTATCCCCATTACTAACAATCCCTTTCCCCTTATTTTTTTTATATCATCATCATATAGCGGTTAACTACTGCTGAACTTAGGCCTCCCCTATAAAGAGGGAAGCGACCACCATCGTGAAGAATACATCTGGAATTCAGCACCATGGTTTCCTGGGGGAACCACAGGGAGGTCGACCTGATAGGATATATTCGTATTGTTAGCAATGGGACTACTAGTCCACATTACTAACAATCCCTCTCCCTCTGGCAATTAGACTTTGCTCATGTTTTACTCGACCATTAAGTTCCATTTTTCGCCTCTTACGACACACACAATACAGCACACCTGCAATACCGCTGGTGTTGTGGGTGATCATGGGCGGCGTTAGTCATTTACCATCAGGTGAGCCGCATGCTCGTTTGCCCCCTGTGTTGTAAAAAAAACCTATGGAAAAGGAAAGGGCGGAGGGGGAGGTCCATTCTATGCCAGGGCCACACAGAAATTGTAATATTAATATCATAGTAATGTATGCATAATATGTAGTAGTAGGCGGGACGAAGGGGAAATTATTTTCGTATACTATTCTCGTTGTCCCCTTAGAAACCATCGTGGTTCTCTCTGGTGAATTGGCCAAGATACACGGGCCGATTAGCCTAGTTTTATCTTCGTGGTTTAATTTCTTACTGGTGCTCCACCAATACCGTGAGCATAGGCTAGTAAACTATTCCGTCTTCATTTATTAAACAAAAATTTGACTTCATCGTCATCAAACATCAAACGCTAGCAAGGCAGTAAGTACCAGCCTACTACCCCGCTAGCATATACCAATAGCATTACATTTACATCTGATAAAAAAAAATTACAATTCACGGAATCTTCAACTCAAACGCCGCTGATACCCAAGATTAATGAGGAACGCAAAAAGGTCCGAAATGAATGCGACTAGCAAATTAACTTGTAAACTAATTTCGCAAACATTCGCCTTGGCAAGCCGTAAATATTTGTTAATTTTATAAATGGAAATGTATATAAACACTTTAAAGAGTAAATAAGGTAAATTCACCTGAATCTTATTTCAGAGGGGAAAGCAATTGTTAGTAAAGGGGCCTAACTGTCCCATTGCTAGCAATACCCTTTCCGTTCGACCTTCACACGGTTTCCGCTGGAAACCATCGTGGTTAATAATTTGTCGAATTAATCACGATGAGCTAACTGATTTCATTCATTCTCATCTAATATTATTTCATTCTTATTGTTTCCGGAAAAGAGTGAGAAAGAGAGAGAAAGAGAAACTGGTAATTAGACAAATATCTTTTTTAGGAGATGAAATGGTATCTCAGTTGTACTATCGGTACCTTAGATTATAAAGTATATAGATTGGCAATGTAAAAGAGAGAAAATATAATAACCTATATGTTAGAGCGAGATAGACTATAGGACAATAATATGCTCAATATATGATTAAAGTTGTTTTAGCGGAAATATGAACAAAATATTTTTTAATTATTTTTATGTTTTATTTAAGTGTGCTATACCTAAATATAATATAAAAAAAAAAAAAACAAAAATGCACATTTTTAATGTAATTATGTTGTAAATATTTATTACCTTTAAACGAAATATTTAAGAACAATCTGAAATACTTTGTACAAGTAAAAATCCGGACGACTCCGAAACAAAATTAAAATTATAAGAAATACGTGATTTTTTGCTAAACTTCAATTCCATATAAATTCAGATCTGTGTACAAATTTACAAAACATGCACACTAGTGTAATCACTTTCTTTTCTCATTTTTGCGATTGCATTGTCAGTCTGTCAGTATGCAGTACGTTATACTACGTCTATGATTGGTACCTATAAGCTGGCAGGGTACCAGTGGGAGATGATAGACCAGTTAGCTTACTGTGATAAATACACTAGAAATTGAGCATGATGATGGTTTCCGGAGAGAACGTATGGAGTTTGAGCTGACATGGTAGTGTGTTGTTAACTTGATCGCTTTAGTACTGCGTTCGTGCTTACGTCAATAATTTGTATTGAAAATAATGACTGCAATCTAACGAATGGTTTCGAAATATAAACTTATGGAATGGGTTTCCATAATTCGTTATTGGATTTTAATTGCATGGTATTTAATACACACCATGCACTGCATATCTGAAATCAAAATCATTTGCTGCCTTTTAGAGAAATAAAACTATTTTTCTATTCTAAATGCTTTAAAGAAATAAAACCATTAATTTAATAATTATTTTATTATTCTTATATAAACATTGTAAGAAAATCAATATTACAATTACATTAATACAACAATATTTTTAAGTATAGTTATACCTACATACAAAATGAAATAACATTTATCTTGTATCCAAGCACAGAGTTTTCTCAATAAAATGTTAATAAGTAGAAAAACTTTTATGAAAATTATTTAATCATAATAAAACAAATTATTAATTAAAAATAAGGAACAGAACGAAGTATTTAATACTAACTGACATATACCATTTATATTATTCTAGTATCGAGTCATACATAGCCATGTGTTAGATACATAGCTACATACTTAAAACTGTTGGTATTCAAAATGGAATTGTGTAATCGAAGAATTAAAAAAAAAAAAAAAAAAACTTAATAAATAATTACTTATCTAATAACTAAAACATTTATAATGGGTCCATAGATCTTAGCAAAATGTTTTTTAGATTTATAACAATACACTTTCTTCTTTCCAAAGCATTTGTATTTAAAATACCAATTTCAGGATAAGTAGTATAGGTATTCTTAAATATTTTACTACCCGCACCAATCTATTAAAAATAGTTTAGTTCGTTTTAACATTTTTTGTTTTATATTTAATAAATTGTTAATTTTTCATCCTAACCTAATATTTTCATATAGCAGCAGCGGTAATATTACATATACCTATTAGAATCACATTGTTTTTAATAATTATTATTAAAACAATTTTTAATGTAGCTTTAACGACAGTACAGGTTTCTTTTTATAACAGGAGGCAAACGAGCATGCGGCTCACCTAATGGTAAGTGACTACCGCCGCCTATGAGCACTCGTAATACCAGAGGCATCACAGGCGTGCTGCTAGCCTTTTAAAAAAGGAATATGCTCTTTTCTTGAAGGTTATGATATCGTATCCATTCAGAAATACTGCTGCTGGAAGTAGATTCCAAAGAGTTGTTGTGTGAGGAAGAAAGTGCCTTGAAAAACGTCACTCACCCAAATAGTTGGGATGGAACTTTGGATGGGATTCTTTTGAACGTTGAGGACAAAATTCTTCAAACACGCTATTCAATGTAATTGTATTTGTATTAACGTTGTAAAAATACGTGAAGAAATATATTTTGTCTGTAGAAGCTCCTGAGAACTTAGCGGAGTTTTAATTTATAAATATAACAAGTTGAGAATAAAAATTTCTATAAATTTTTTTTTTGAGAATATTAAACAAAAATATGTGTTAAATATTAAAAAAATTAAAATATACTTCTGTCATAAAAGATTGGTGGGCATATGAGAAATAATAAAACATTAACAGGAACCGGGTCAGACTAAAAATAATACATGAGAGTTTAATATAATTGTATAATGTACATTGTAGACTTACTAAATTAAATGCATATTTTATAATGACATGAAATATGTAAATGCTAGATACCATGGACAATTTAAAAATGATAATATTGAGATAGTTCCTAGGTGTAGAGGTCAATGAGATGGCCTGGGAATAGAGTTGGCTGGAAGAAGTTTCATGAATTAGTTGCACCGACAAGAGGAAACTATTAAATTAAAAGTAGTGATAGTTTTAGGTTAAAACAATAAATATACCCGTCTTAAAGTTATTTTACCAATATTTGAGACTTGTTTATAATCAATAATAACTATAATTTATACTGGTTTAATCGAAAAAAAAGTGATTCAGTAACAATAACACACTCATATGCTTATTGAATTAACAATTACTAAAAACGCTAATAATAAAACCGTATATAACCAGCCTAATAATATAATCGGTGAACATATTGAGAAACAAACTTTGAAAACGTCTTATACTGTTTAACTAGAATAGAACAAAAATAGGTTTTTATATTAACCGGTTTTGGTGATTAATAACAAATAATTATCATAAGATTATTATTTATTAAAAACTTATTTAATAAAAAAAAAGATATAAATGATCCTTGTGAAAGACATGTGAGTCAAATAGATCTGAAATAGTTAACATCTAAAATAATTATTAGGATAAACCAATTGTCATAATACCTACAAGTTGAATAGCTATTATAATCTTGAGTATTTAAAATTATTTCGATTCTATTTATTTTTGATTGGCTATATTTAACAAAAATTTAATTATGATGCAGTAGGTGGACTTAATTGCTCTAGGTATACCATGCACCTTTGGAATTGTGTTAATTCATTAAATATATAAAGGCATCTCTAATAACATCTTAAAATCCTTGATTTAAATAGTATCATAGTATTTATACTACGTTTTTATTTGATTCGTTACCACATTTTAATGTAGGCACATTATTATTAAGGGCACAAGATAGTAGTCTTAATTACTTTCAATAATATTAAGAAATTGGGGTTTTGGGGAATTGGGGTACTTGCATAATTTGTGGTCTTAGTCCGTGACTAAGTTTATTTTGTATAATAATCTGCATATCGTCTTTTTTAATTTAAACAGTAAAATATATTTTTCGATCATCAATACTACTAGAACACAAACTCAAACAAATCCAATATCTTCATCAGACTGGCATAGATGATATTAGAATTCTTAAAAAGAAAATATATTTGAAAACTTTAATAATTTTAATGTAATTTAAACCTTAATTATATGTAATAAAATACAGTATTGTGTTGAAATAGATTTTTTGAAATATGAACTCATGCTATATTTGTGACTATATTCACTTTGACCAGACATTAGTAGTATTGATGACAAAAAATGTATTACACTAGTTATCATCGATTTAAATAGTTTTTCAATATAATATCGTATATCAAAGTTAGGTCTTTTAATCGACAAAAGATAATTTCGAATCCAATTGATTCTTTTTATATGCAACGCGAAACATGCGCTAAGTGTAACTAACTTTTCCTTTCCAATCAAATGGACTTTCCTTCTGAATACAGTGTCTCAAACAATTTTTGATACTCATTCATTTTTAACATTAAACAAATTTTGTTGGCATTTAAACATTTTAAGTTTATAATAATGTATTTCATATTGTTTACAAATATAAGACTTGTTATTTGGCATACATAATAGATTCAGATAATCTCTATGCAAAATCAGATCAGTGGGACGGCTTAGCTTACAATAGCATAAAAAAAAATTGGCAAAGTATATTAAACCTCGCCTTTTTCTAAAAATATTAGGCCTTAACAATTTCAGCAGAAAGCCTTGCTAAGAACCGTAAATTCAAGATCTTGACCGACTTCGTGAGTACATCGAAACGATTTGAACTTTTCTTAAATTACACAAATATAGCTTAGTAGTTAAAATGTCTAGATTTTCAAAATTAATATACAAGTTCGAATTCTTAGCAAAGGCATCTTAACATTCATAAAAGACATTTGCATATGTATATAAAATATAGCCATATAATTTCCGTAGCTAATTTGTAAAAATACCAGCAAAACATTTATATTTATTTTATGTAAAGCTAGCATTAAAAAGATTAGTAGAGACCTAGCAATCCAAGTAAACATTTCTTGTAGTGGCCGGAGCAGTCACCCTGAAAGCAAAGATAAACAATTATATAGTATGGAAGCAGTAACATCATCGTCATCATATTAGCCTTTAACTTCCACTGCTGAACATAAGCCTCCCCCGTTGGGAGTTTGCCAGTAGTTGCCACACTTGGCAGGCGGATTGGCAACCGTAGTTAGGCTTTAAAGATGTTTCAAGAGAGATCAACCCCCCCCCCCCCCCCCCAACAAATCATCATTATTATCATATTAGCAGTTAGTACATCAGCAGTTAATAAACTACTATGGCATACCAAAGGCAGTGAAGACTGAGGGAGACTATTGACAAAAGTCGTTTGCTTGGGCACCTCTGTCCCATTCATATATTTCTAGCGCAAAGCAGTTGTGTTTGCATGGCCGTGGGTTCGGTTTGAAGGGTGGGGATATGACAGTAAATTTACAGAATACAGAGGTATAACACCCGAGTCCTCAGGAATGGCAACGCATGGGTATCATGGGCGAAACAGTATACTCTGTTATGTCCATGGTACTGCTCATGTCTATAGGCGACGGTTACCACTTTCCACCAGGAGGGCCGTCAGCTTCTTTGCCATTCTAAGTTGCGTAAAAAAACTCAAATTCACTGATTCCTAGCAACAACATTTGGGGTCGACTCACTATTTCTTTCGAGTTTATCTTATGTTTGTCTAAACGATTGTCATGCGAAGATTTTTATGCTCGATTAAAAAATAAAGGAAATAATATTACCTCTATCCAACTGGCGAGGGTCTCCCCGTATTTGCTCTGGAACATATCCGAGATGTCGCCGAGGTCGACCTCGCAGCGAGTGACCATGATGCGAATGAGCTGCCGGTCGTTGGTGCCGAGACCTTTCATCGACTTGTGGAGACGTTCGGCGAAGAACAGCGGTTTGTTGCGTACCACTTTCACTGTAATGAAATATGTACAGATTTATTTTTACTAGTTTTTATCTACGTCTTCTTCCGCGTGACAGAGATATGTTTACAGATTGAGATAAAAGACGGCCTATATCCTTCTCTAACCCATATAATACGTGTACACCAAATTTCATAGTAATTCGTTAAGCTGCGCTATAAGGTAACAAACTAATTTTCACATTTATAATTATAGTAAGGATTTGTGGTTTTTACACTTACACCAAATATAACAACAATTATTAAAAAAAATCTAAAGCCAAAAGTTTTTTTTTTTTTACGTGTCATGTTTGATGGTAAACGATTACTTATTCCAGTACGCACATACATGAGTAATGACGACCCAGAATGAACCTTATTGCATCCTATATATGATAATATAATATTGTAGTTTTAGAATTAAGTGAACTACAATTTTAAAACTGATATCTTATACTTATAGGGTAGTGGTGACCCTCAAAGAATTTCGTTGTCACTTTTATATCTAATATCTAAAGTTATCAAGTTTAAATAAATATATTTACGTCAAGTGTTTATGGTTCCTCAAACATATAGTTTCATATTAATTTAGTTGAATAAACTTTCAAGATTAAAAGAGAAACTAAATGAAATAAGAGATGTAAATCATATAAGTATAACATCATCATATCGTCCGTTCATTGTTCACTAAATTATAGATAAATTGTGAGTTATAATGTAAATGACAAAACATCCAAAGAATCATTGTATACGTTCATAGAATAAAATTATAGGCAACACCTATGACTACATAGGAAGTAGCGCCAATCTCGCTTGAAACGAGGCCAAGTGAACGTTTAACAGGGATTGATCGCAACCACATCATGTTTATGAGTCAGCTTTACTATTTTGGCAATTCGTGACGTATACGTCATACATAATGAATCGATGACGCATGTCTGACTCGGGCGGACACGTTTACGTGTACTATGGTGAGTGTAATGTCTTTTATTTTGCATTACGCAGCGCTGTGACGTAACATGACTCATGCATTGCGTCGTATCGTAAAAAAAGGCCTTACAAAAGAAATATAATTATGGTTGAGACAGCTATCAATCGTAATTGTCAAGTTTAGTTTTATGTGCTGTAAATATGAACTAGAAACAATGCCATACTTTATTTAACGATCGAATAGTGTAACAGCATGGTTCGTAATTATCAAATATAGTAAATTGAATGCCCATTAAATATAAATTTATTAATTTAAGTATAGATTATTATCATAATATATACAATCATATTTATTATTATGTAAATTTATAATAATAGTTAAATTTGATTTTTTTATATAATGTAAGTTCGCCACCACTGTCTTCAAACGTTTTCTGTTTTAATGATTAGCTGGTAAAGGATGTCATACGGCATTAAGCTCGTTATTTGTACAAATAAAAATTGTACAATAAAGAATAAATAAACAATGCAAAGTTATTTAATTTGTATTACAGTATACAATGACTGATATTATTGACGAACATTAGTATTGTACAAAATGTCGATTAGTAAACAAAGACCAGAGGCCTACCATGAAATATTTGCTGAAATTTCGGGGGCAAACGAAACAGAAATCTGATGTTAAAATTACATAATACATGCTGTTATTATTGTTATTAAAATGTTAAAATATCGTTCCTCTGGACTATTAGGATAGGATTTATGATGAACGAAATGTTAACCTGCATTTACTGTGTCGATTTCGGTACGAACAAAAGTACGAAATTGAGCCCGAAAATTAGGAATAGAAATCCACCAGATTTAATGCTAAGAAATTGCAAAAAGTAGTGATATTTATTAGTTAATCATCAGATCCATAATGTTTAAAATGTTATAAACAAATGTAAATTCAAAGATTCATAATAAGAGCTCAAACTAAAGTCTAGACCTAGCTCTACAGACAAGCCATTTATTTATTTTTAGTTATCTCTCTTTTCTAAATTATTGGCAAAACTCATGTTCAGCAGTGGACGGTTAAAAGTTGATATGTATAAAAAAATATAAAAACTTACCAATAGCTCTTAGTGCCTTTTCAAGGTCACCAGAGAACTCTGCCTTGATGGCGTCATCGATGTCGTGTCCGGTGAGGAACTGGTACTCCTGGAAGATAGCCGCCAGCTGTGGGAACGAGCGGGAGCACAGCACCGCGTTGAATACTGACTCATCGGTGCCCAATCGAAGTTCACCTGGAAACATACATTTTTGTTGAAGAGAATGTTTTTTTTAAAGCAAAAGAATAACGCAAATAACTTAATATGCTCCTACTGGTGGGAAAGGTATTGTTAGTAATGGAGACTGAGAATCCCATTGCTAACAATATACCCAACCAGGTCGACCTCCTCGCGGTTCCCCCTGGAAACTATCATGATTAATTACAGATGAATTCATCATGATGAACTAACTGGCCTGTTTTCATCCTCATCGATCACCATTCACTGGTGCCCCGCCAGCGTATCCCGTTAGCGCAGGTGGGGTTACCATTCCATTTTCATCCAATAAAAATTATTCTTCTATTTTTGTAGCTGGCCTAGGTGTATTTGTAATACCAAATTGGTCAGATTACTTATGAACATTTGGGCTTAGAACCATTATTATTTGTACAAAAAGAAAAATCAGATATTTGTTGATGTAGGTAAAAATTATAATGTGCTCGGGTCAATTTAACTTTTTAAGATAAATGAAATAAACTCACCCGCTTGGAGCAAGCTCCTTGCGTCTTCCCTTGCCTTTTCCTGATCCACATGGAAATCCTCAGCTCTGTTGCCCTGGAATTATAATTTAAACATTTTGTCAATTAAATTGACAATATATATAATCGAAAGTTACCATGGTGTTAATGTGTTAATAAAAAATAATATATCTTTGTACAGCTGTATGATCTAACGACCTTAGCCTGTATCTAACAGCGAGCAAATTAAAAACAAAACAAATAATATTAATTATTCTAGAAAGAACAGTAAACAGTAGTAGCTTCTAACAATATTCTGACCTTTACTTGTGTTTATTTTGCTTTAGATTCTGAATCATTAGATAGACAATGAAGTAATGTTACAATGTTTTCAAGATATAGACTAAGTATCTATTAATACAAACAACACTTACTAATATTTTAGGTAAATAAGAAATTAATTTGTTTATTTGTTATCGCTTGGTACCATAACCCTCTGTCCGGGCATCCCGCGATTTTCGCGTGCAGTATCTACTAGTCTAATTTTACACATGCCGCGATTTCGACGTGCTCGCATTTTTTTTTTATTTATTGACGTTGTTATCCCGCGATTTTTGTTTTGGTAGATTGATATTATTTCTCTGGATCTCGTTACATGGCTAAATGCTATTTATTGCCAAAGCGATTTGTTTTATTGCTGTGAAAAAAAATACGCAGTCTGAGGGTTAACTGCTTAATTATCACGAAATTTCACATATATATTTGGATGGAGAAACACGCGAAGTATATATAGTTCAAAACAAATCTTTTGGAGGAAAAGGGTTGTTAGTAATGGGTTCTAACAGCCCCATTGCTAGCAATATACTCTATCAGGTCGACCTCCACGCGGTTCTCTCGTCGTGGTTAATTCTCGTCTAGTTCTTCACGACGGGCCGACTGACCTGTCTTCATCCTCACCTATCATCTATCACTGGCGCCCCGCCAGCGTATATCGAATATCGATAGCGCAGGTGGGGTTACCATTCCATTGTAAAAAAAAAAAAATCTCTTTCATATACATAAAACAAATAACAACTAAAACCCATTACAATGTAAGCAATTAATCATAATTGAAGTACCGTCACGCCCTCGTACGAACATGCGAATTCACAAAGAAGTACCTAAATGTTAGAATTAAATTATAGAGGTGCGTGAATGGAAATAATAATTAAAATTTAATAATACTAGGTTTAAACCGCGGAGTTACTCGCGTGAATTAGTATTGTGTTAATCTAGACATCTCCTAGACAGCTTCCGAGTAATATGAAAAGGATTATGTGAAATTGTTGACTTACCATACACAATGAAGTCATCAACCTTTTGAAGTTTCCCGATGTGTCACCGCGCAGATCATCTTCCAAGAAATTGCCGTACACTTGAAACAAAAATAAATACGATTAATGAAATATCCTCGATTATGTTATAAGCAATCTCTATTATTACTTTATAGTACAAATATATAACACCACGAAAAAAGTTAATTAATGCTTCAATATCAGACTAATATTGTTATTTGTTTTCCTTGTAATAGGTATTGAAAACATGACAGGAAAAACCAAACTACAATTATGAAACCTGCATAAATATTTGTTCCTTGTACTTTCATGAACAATAATTGTATGTTTAAAAAAAAAAAAATTTTTAAGATTATGTTCCAGAAAAAAAAAAACTATAATAATGGCAATACCAGTTATTTTAATTTAAAAATTAAACTATTGAGCTAATTATGATAAAATTTCTATGGGATCGATCTATCTGAAAAAATATACGTAAGTATACTTACGTATATTTTTTCAGATACGTAAAAATTTACGTAAAAATATACTTACGTATATTTTTTCAGATAATAAAAGAATTTTCCAAATCGGTTTACAACTGGCGGAATTATGGGGTGACAAACAAAAAAAAAATAACCGAATTGAGAACCTCCTTCTTTTTGAAGTCGGTTATAAATAAAAATACCTAATCACATTTTATGGATTAAGGTAGAAGGCATTTTAAATGATAATTATAAAACTGTAGTTCACCTATACATACGTAAGGTACAAGTTGTTTACATAGATCGTGCGTACCATCAACTCGTGCAGCGACCCTAATTATAAAGACTGCGAGAATTATATGCCAGTTTGTGTTTCAATTAAAATTGTTAATTATTTGATTTCGGCCTTAGTCTTACATAGCACTGATAGTTTATATAGGTAATCTTATTACAAATCTTAATAATAAAAAATTTTTGTTACGATTTTCGTTCACATTAATCTCCGAAATCGCTCAAATGTTTTTAATGAAATTTTGGAAATGTGTATTGAGATTGCTCCAACTTGAATATTGATTGAGGAGGTAAACGATCGACGATATCTCGCGGCTTTACACACGTGGAAAAGTATATAAAGTATCTTATGTGCTAAATTAGAATATAATCTACCTGTGCATTAAATTGCATTAAAATCCGTCCAGTAGTTTTGCGTGAAAAAGTAATAAACAATGATCCATCCATCGTTACATTCTTTTGCATTTATTATATTAATATAATATTTATTATTTTGAACCTAGAGGTGGAATCATAAAAAGCCTATTTCAATAAAAGATTATTTCTATTCTATCGCACGAAGAGCTTTGACTACAAACGTTCTGTTGACGAAGCATTATTACTGCCCGCACTAACATTTTTAACACATTTTAACGCGTAAACAATACTGCGAATCTCATGCTAGGCAGAAACTCATGTTGATAAGCTTTGCCAGAACGCTGACTGCTACTCGATATATGTATTAATAGAATTTCATTTATAAACAAAATACAATCAAGAACTCGTCGGCTTAATTTTTTAATTTTCAATGCGTATGTGGGTAGAAGGGATTGTTAGTAATGATGGACCTGTCCCATTGCTAGCAATATACACTGTCAGCCTGTCAGGTCGACATCTACGCGGTCAATATACTTGGAAACTATAGTGCCGAATTTCCAGGTTTATTTATCACAACGAGCTTTTATTTTCATCTATTATCCTTCACTGGTGTCCAGCTTATACCGGTTTCACAAGCTGGGCTACCATTCCATTATTATTCATTAAAAAAAAAACGCGTAAGTCACATGATCGACAGGAGACTTACGCGTTGTTGATACACTATAGTTCCAAGTTACTAATTGGACTCTAACATGACCATAGATAACGAAAGGTTGGTAATGAGTTTTATGAACTCAGAATATTTATGGCGTTCAATCTTTGGTGGCGTCATACCTATGGAAAATGAGTAAGTAAAATATTTAATTCAATGTTCAAACGTCTATATATTTTTTAAAAAGAATGACAATTTCTAAATTTTATACTGCGCGCGCAACTTCGCATGCGCTGTTATTTATAATTTATTTTTCTACAGAAATTCAAAAGGTATTTATAAAGGTTTGTTATAAAATATATATATACGCCACATCATCCCCTCCGAGACCGTTAACGGGCGATAGTAATCTGGAAATTTAACTACTCGTCCTGTTCTTGTTTTTATAATTTCTTTAGGTGGAGGTAAGGCGTCCAGAGGTTCATGTAGGCTGCGGTCATCTAATATGTAGGCAGGTTTCAAGCGATCTATTGATACAGTAACAGGTTTGCCTTTAACTAATAATTTGTATACTTTTTCAGATTTCTCCAGGACAGTATATGGACCGGTATATGCTGGTTGTAAGGAAGCTCGAACTGCATCTTCTCTTAAAAATACATGTGAAGCTGTTGGTAAATCCTTATAAATAAATATGGACGGTTTTGTATGTCTTGATGCAGGGGAAGGCTTTAAGTTATTAACAAACGAACGTAAGCGGGCAGTGTATTCTGTAACGTCTGTTGTTCCAGCTGTGCTTGGGTCGAAGAATTCTCCCGGTAATCGCAGCGGTTCACCATAGACTATGCAGTGCTTGCTTGTATGTCCTCTTTATAGGCGCTTCGAATCCCGAGCAGAACTAAAGGTAAGACTTCCATCCAGTTCTCTGTCGCATGACAGGTAATAGCGGTCTTCAGCTGTCTGTGGAATCTTTCTATAACACCGTTACTTGCGGAGTAGCAGGGGCGATATCCTGGATACGGTTTGCTAAATCAGAGAGCACCTCCAGTGACGCTGTAGGTTGAGCAGCTATCACTGTCTGTACGTTGCGTGGTAGCCTACTTGTCCATATGGTCTTGAGAAAGTCCTCTGGCACGTTCGGTCCGGCGAGGCTTTGTAAATGCCGTTTCCATTCCTCATGCATAAGTAGTTGTTTTACCTGCTTCTCGCGTGAATAGACGTTTGATAAGTTCAGTTTTCAATTTTTCATACTTTTCCGTCGGAGGTGGTGAAATTATAATGTCCTTCACTTCCTTTGAAAATTGGTGGTCAAGTTGTCCAATAACGTAATTTTTTGCATCTGCTGTTATTTTTGAGACGGCAAATTGTTTGAGCAAACCATATTTGTTCCTGCCAAAATGGCGGAACTCGTATTCTTTAAATATTTGTCGTTGTTGTTAGACGATGCCATTGTAATATGCGTTTTTTTTATGGGAAATTAAGTAAAATATTTAATTCAATATTCAAACGTCTATATATTTTAAAAAGAATGACAATTTCTAAATTTTATACTGCGCGCGCAACTTCGCATGCGCTGTTATTTATAATTTATTTTTCTACAGAAATTCAAAAGGTATTTATAAAGGTTTGTTATACAATATATATATATACGCCACATACCCTTATGAATATGAGATAATTCTTAGGAGGAAAAAAATCGTCAGTAACAGACACTGGCAACCCTATTGCTAACTATATATCCTCTCAGATCGACTTCCACGCGGTTTCCCCGGGAAACCATTGTGGTTAATTAATTCTTGGTGAATTCCTCACTGATCGGCTTTTATCCTTATCTATCATTTCTCATTGATGCCCCGTTAGCGTATTCCGACAGCGAAGATGCTACCATCTTATTATCCTAAAAAATCGTAATTTCCATAGAGGTTGGAATCAAGACTACTGTCATTGATTGCGGTTTGGTAGATTTTTTATTATTTTTGTGATTGTGTTTAAGTTTGTGATAGTCATTTTGTCCATTCATTTTTTTTTTGTTACAAACTTAACTTTTATTTGAAAATAGCAACAGCTGTTTCTTGCTCGTTCTTCTCAGATGAAATTGCAATCCGAATTGGGCGGTAGATTAAAAAAAAAAGAGTATTCAAAAATGTTTAGTATTAAGTTTACTTGAATAAATTTTTTTATTACACAGAATTGAGAAAGAATATCCTGGTCATGCGAACACAGCCAGTATAGAATATATAGTTACAAGTATGAGTATGTAAATTAAACGATAGGTTACTAAAAAAAAAATTCAATAGTGTGACGATAGGTTATTAAAAAAAAAAACATTTTCAATACTATGATAAAATAAGATAAATTTTTATTCGCTGTATCTTTATTTCGACTCAGAAGTATACGCGTAATTTTTGCATCTACTCTCGGAAACAATTCATTAGAATTTACAAGAATATGTAGCCAAGGACGGATTGTTCTGCGAACATACTGCTGTTTCAGTGACCTGGCCATTCTTCATATCATTTAACATTGGACGCGGTAATTGTTGATATCCTATCCTCGTTATTCACATTAGGTATAATCATAAGAATAAAGACTAGGTAGAAGCGACACTCCCGCCAATTCAATAATAATACCGCGTTTGTCGCTCGAGCCGTAAGAATTGAATTCCTTTACTCAGTGCGATCGCGCGCCACACACAGCATGTTTAATTGTACGCTAAAAGATGGTGCTGTATTTTTTTTTTATTTTACCAATTTAAATATCAATAATTATTTACTTAGCATTCGTAAAAAATGTATGTAAATTTTACAAAATTAAATTTAATGTTTTTTAAAGTAGTAACATTTCTTACTATTTATTTGACATATTTTGCTATAAAATAGATTACTGTTTATTCATTTTTTTATTAATAACTATTTTAATATATGATGGTGGGAACTCCAATAGAACTATTATTATTTTCTGGATATAACCCCTCTTCATATGCCTAAATATGTTGTATGTACCGTCTTTTGCCACGTTATTGATATATTTCCATATCGTAACACAGTGGGTCTCATTACAATACATTTATCTATACAAGGTCGCCACTTATGATTTTTCAGCTTTTTCAATAGGCTAACGGATTGCTTTTTCATTTGTGTGTGAGAAAATAATTTATTAAATGGGTATCAATTTGTGACAACCCTATTTGAATAAGAAGAAGCGAGGTACAGTTTGATAGCATCGGTGCATTTAAGAAAAAAAGTACATGAGTGTCAAGTATATACATATGCATATTATGATATAATCTAATGAAATCATATGGTCAATTTGTCAGTCGGAATTGACTTAATTTAGAAAATAAAAAATCGTAAATTGTTATAAGAAAAGACAAAAAGAAATATTAAGAAAAAAGATTAATTTTTAAGCGGGACAAAACCAGTATGGGCCAAAAGGAGAATGAATTATCGACTGAAAAAGATTTAAAAAAAAGGTATATAATTGTAAACGGAAAGCCGTAATAATAAAAAAGCAAACTGAGAATCTTTTACTTTTTTGAGTCAGTTAATAAAAATTAGTAAGCCATTAGACAGACAACAATACTGAATTCTAATTTCAGCATTCATTTGTGAGAAAGTGTTGTTAAGATGAGGTTGTTGACCTCGATAAACATAGAAATGCTAGTGTTACTTTCGTTGTCGGTTCATTAAATAGCAACATTTTCTATCAATAACTTCGAATACTAACGAAATTATTGTTCGTATAAATAATTTGGCAGGGGGAAAGGGATTGTTAGTAATGGAGACTGAGAATCCCATTGCTAGCAATATACTCAACCAACTCGACCTCCTAGTGGTTCCCCCTGGAAACTATCATGGTTAATTCCTGATGAATTCATCATGATGGGCTAACTGGCCTGTTTTCATTCTCATCTATCACCCTTCACTGGTGTTCCACCAGCGTATCCCGATAGCGCAGGCGGGGTTACCATTCCATTTTCACCCATAAAAAAAAGTTGGCATAAAAGAATGAAATTTTCAAAAAGTAAATCAATTACTTACTAGCCGTGTAAGCTTGTTTGATGACCTGTATCTCATGATTGGACATTGTACACATGACTTCAATCAGTACGTCCTCATCGGTTCCAATGCCTGAGGTAGCGTCATGAAGTTCCTTAGCATAAAATTGGGGCAGTGGAGTCATCAACGCCACAAGGAGATCTTCAAACTTGCCGCTCGTCTCACTCTTCAAATCGGAGATGAGATCCTGATAAGAAAAATATAAATATATAATATAACATACATACTCGGTTATGTAGTATCTTTATAAATAAAAAGTCTCCTTGACCCAGTAATGGAAAAAGGCTTCAAGAATGATGTCATCAACAAAAATGAAATCACCTGTATGTTTTTATAATAATATGTGTATCTAACACAAAATACAAACAAACAATTACAAACTATCTCAAATGTTCACAAAACCAAATTCAATATTAATATTGTGTTCGTGTGGTAATTGTAATACCTATTATTTTTCTTTTTTTAAATAAGTTATTTTTTTTTGTCATCACCAATTTACAATTTTTAACAGATATTCAAAGGTTGACGGGAAGAAATCACTTTTATGGGATAACTTCGCCATTGTACTCATTCTTTTCTTAAAAACGCTGTATCCAATAACTTAAAATTTTACAACAGTGTTACAAACCTATAGTATATGTGTACTTGATGAATTCTGAATTCCAATAAGCGGCATGTAATATCAGCATCAACGTACCAATTTCAATATGTATATTTCTAACCTTCTCTTGCTTGTAAGTAAATTACTCATTACTAATAAATGAAATTACGTATTCTTAACTTTTATTGACCCAGTTGTAGTTGCTACTAAATTTATTGATGTATATAAAATTTGTTTACAAAATATACACTCTGTATTCCGTGCTTCTGAACTGTAAACTTCGTATAAATTTAGCAAAATAATTATACTAAGAATTGAAATTTTGAAATAATATAAAACTTGATTTGATGAGATGTTTCGGTTCAGAATTTAAGATTCATAGCAAGAAGTACCTCTTAATCGTTCGGTTATTGGAAACTAGTAACAAAAAAAACTAGTAAAAAGAAAAAAACAAATAAACTCTCATATAATAGATGATACTGGTTCTTTTGTATAAATTTTGTCACTCCGTGTACATGACCGGTTACCGTGTCGTAATGTGCGCGGATCTAAACAAGAACTAACTCAAGGTCAATCATGGTACACACATATGATGGTTATATGAATGACGAAACTGTCAGGCCAGTATACTGATTTATAAAAAAATAAGTTACTGTGCATGCTCTACCCTTAATCCATAAAACAAATCACGAAAAAAACTACTGTATCTTTTTTATGGATAATAATGGAATACGATATGGGCATACACTGGCGGGGTACCAGTGAGGGATGATTGGTGAGGATGAAAAGGCAGATCAGTTAGCCCATCGTGACGAATTCAACGATAAATTAGTCACGATGGTTTCCAGGGGGAACCGCGTGAAGGTTGACCTGATAAGGCGTATTGATAGCGATGGGGACTAACCTCCCCATTACTAACAATCCCTTCCCTCTAAACTACCGTATTAGGACCAATTTCTAAGCTATGGTCTTGCTTTAAGACTGCCTAACTGGATTATAAGGGGGGAAAGGGATTGTTAGTAATGAGGTATAACTGACCTATTGTCAGCAATACTATTAGTTCGTCCTCCACGCGGAGGAATTCGTCACGATGGGCTAACTGACCTGCTTTCATCATCACCTATTATCCTTCACTGGTGCCTAGCCAGTGTATACCGATAGCGCAGGCGGAGCTACCATTCCATTATCACCCATTAAAGAAAATTTAGATTATTAGATATCTTTTGCAGACCGATATCCGGCACAAAAGTAAGCCAGTGTCGTCAGCCGGTATCCAACTCGCTCTACATTATTGTTTTCATCTCAATAAAGATTTTAGATGAATATTTTATGTATTTATATTTATGATTACAGATATATTTATTGGCCATACTAGTTATGTTATTTGTACCGCTGAGGTAACAAATAACTATATAGTTCACCTGATGGTAAGTGCTTACTATACTCTATGGGTGCTTGCTAAAGGCATTTTGTGCGAATTTATAATTAAATGCTTCTCTGCTGAGAGGCATTATTTATACAAGCTAACTATATACTGAAGGTTGCTACTGACCATATGAATACTAAGGTATCAATGATCAATTTACCACTTTAAAAAAATAAAAAAGAAATATCCGAATATACAACTATGGGTAGCACTATATGAATATGCACATGTCTATAGGCGACGGTTACCACTTGCCATCAGGTGGACCGTCAGCTTGTTTGCCATTCTAAGTTGTATAAAAAAAAATAAAAAAAAAAAAAACACTCAATTAATACATATTTGTTACAAGTAGTATCAACTCGAGACAGATTAATGATAAATAATAAATGAGGACTAAGGTCTCTTCTATCTCGAGGTGATTAATTCAAGACCTTAATCTTGAATTAGATATTGTATGTTATCATCCATATTAGAGCGTATAATACTTTACCTAACCAAGCGATTATACAAAACTCTACACTCAGTGGCTTGTTATGGTGTAATAGTCATAGCAAATATACTCATTCATTCATTCATTTAATAAAAAAAAAAACACTCGATAAGAAAGCGCCTATATATTGTTTGTGTAAACAATTAAACATATTAAGATAAAGAGCGATTATACAAACTCGACTCTCAGTGGCTTGTTATGGTGTAATAGTCATAGATAACGATAAGAAAGCGCCTATATATTGTTTGTGTAAACAATTAAACAAAGATAAAGAGCACGTACTTTTTAGAAAAATTTGGTGTAAAAAATGCCGGGTAAAACAATTATGATGTTTTATTTAGGTATATTTAAAAGTAAAATATTACAAATTGAAAAAGCCGAAGCTAAGGTATACCGTTCCTAATTCATGAACGGACAAAACTGTTATGTAGATTATTATTAATGTAAACTATGTCTGAAGGTCGTCTGATATATCGTGACAAATCGATTTATAATTACTAGGTATATTAACCCTGAGTGCTATGGGCTAACTTTATTTTGGTTAATATATATATTTTCAATAATTTATCACAGTAAATGTAATGGAATAAGGCAGAAATTCTATATAATGTGCGCTGACTGAACGATATAAAATAAAAAAAAAATCTATAGAAAAAATATCCATTACATTTAGCTTTACAAAAAAGTTCGCGACTCCATATATCGTGATTAAATATCTCATAATATAAATGAATAAATAAAATAAAAATAACAAATTTTGCAAGATTAAGTTTTGATACAGGTTTCACGTATATTTTACAAATTCTTATAAAAGCAAACAGATAAATCAAAACGTAAACTTCATGGAGATAAAGTTTTCTTTTCATAACATGTTAATTGTTGCAACTGGTCTGAAGATAATGAGAAATAAAAACAATCAAGCCGGTAAAATTGTTGCGTTATCGCAGGCGCTGGCCGTGCGAGAATAGTAGACCGGGTTTGGAGGTGAGGAGCGGATAAGGAACTATTATATATAAACGTGTCCACATTAAATTGCTAAATAGGTCATTCTTTTTAAAATCGTAGAAAATATTAGTGCAGTACTTTCACACATGCCAAAATACCAGCCTTACAAAAATATGCTGAACAGTTTTTAAACTGTTTAACATAAACAAACATTGCATCCGTGCGAAGCCGGAGCGAATCGGTAGTCGATTTATAAATAAGGGAGTTCTGAAGTAACAACATAAAAAAAATACAACCGAATTAAGAACCTCCTTTTTCAAATCATTTGAAAATTGTATAACAATGTACACAAATCGTATGACTGCCTATTTTTATTTTTAAATAACAATTTAAGTCACTTGAACAGGTTTGCTGGAAGAAATCTCTTATTAAAGATAAGCTTGCCTTTATACATTACATTATATATTGTATAATAAAGAATAAAGAACAATTTAATCCTATACCTTACAACTTAAACGGTCTCGTGCAGTGAGGAAAATACTCAAGAATTTCCACACGCTAACGTTTGTGTTACGAAATGACCTCACTACTGAGGTTTTTCAGAGACCACAAGACAAAAGGATTTTTAAAGCCCAGCAATGGACACGATTCGTAAATTATTACAGGCACCAATAGGCTTTAGTAATAGCTTACGATCAGACCGATTAATGTGATTTGTGTAAGCATAGAGAACCAATATTCAAGATATCCAGACTTCGAACGTTAGATGAAAACAATATCATCCAATAGGTGTCTATTACTTAATAATCTATCTATCACTGTCTCTTTAGCCATGCAATTTTGATAGATGAATAACTTACCTTTCCATACAGCGTCTTGAACTCGAAAGCGATTCGTAAACGCTGCTCATTGCTGCGTCTCGTAAGAACTTGGATGATGGCTTTCTCGTCTGTTCCAAAACCTTTCATAGCCTTCCGGAGCACCGCTGCATCCTCGCGAGGATCGAACGGATTGACAGGCACTACGGTGGGTTTGGACTGGAAAAAATGTTCTAATTTTAGATTTCTCTCACAAAGACAAAGACATCTAAATAATTTTTATTCGAGGAAATATAATTTTAAGCATTAGAGATGAGACATGAAGCATCCTACGTTGTTGATATTGTAATTAACATATTCATAAACATATTAGTACACATTGAATAATTGATTAATTAAAATTTTAATACGGAAAGTTACAAACAGTTTAGTGAATATAGAAACGTAACTTTACATAGAAGTTCCTGATATAGGAGCTAATGCATAGTAACGAGGGCGACAATCATTCAAAATTTTCATTAAATAAAAAATGAAAGTCTCTTTACGTAATATAGATGATAATTTTTCAATAAAAAGAGATAATAATAATTTGCCGGTGTCTAATAGACAATACTGATTCATACAAATGAATTCGAGCCAAACTATAATTGAGCTTGTCATCAAAGGTCATCAGTCAACAATAAAGTGGAGTACAGAATAAATTGTACCAGTTTCGAGTAATAACATCCTGTTTAAATATATTTTTTTAAATTACTACAAAATAATAATAATAATAGAACATTCTTCTTAACAATGGTCTGTCAGGACTTTAGAAAAACACGAAGAGAAACTCGAAAACACAATTTGAGTACTCCAATTATTTCTACTATTTTAATTCTTGCTTTTTAGTGCCTACTAAATGAATACATATTATTTATTCCGGTTTATTATTTATATATATATATATATATATATATATATATATATATATATATATATATATATATATATATATATATATATATATATATATATATATATGTTATTAAGGTAAGAAAGAATAAATATATGTTATTATCATAAAAACTATATGGTACTACCTGATTTCCAGAAAAGCAAAATTACTATGTCAGGAGCTAGAAAATCTGATCATACCTTAGTAACCTACAAAAATATTGTTTTGTGGGTTACTAAGCGCCATGCGCCAATGGTCTTACTTATAAACAAGAGCGAGACCCCAATATAAAAAAATAGCTAATTTTAGCTTGATTTAACTTGTGACGATTGCGATAAGCTGGTTATTTAACAATGTTGCTATAAATTAGTCATTTGTGAGACAAAAACATGAACCTGTCAGATAAGCTATCATAATGTTGAACATTTGCGGTTGAAATATACCCATGATAGCCAGTTACACACATCAACTTATAATACCTACGAACCTGCTAACATAGTGGTATGTGTGGTTAGCACTACAAACAGTAGGTACACACTTTGCTGATTGTATGAAAAACGGAAATGCGAGTGTTATCTTGTGATGGATCCTGAGTACAGCCTTGTCCGTTTTTGAGATAATACAAAATGTATTGTGTTAAATATATTAATATAGTATTAGGTCAGTACCTAATTTTTACTATATTAACCTAGTTTAAAGGGCGTAATTTATAATTAATATCTACATAAAAGTGATAATACCTACATATCCATTGGAGGTCTATGTTCACAGGTGGACAAATAATAGCTGATACGATGATGAGGGTTCACTCATAGTTTATAATTTCACATGTAACTGATTTATACAACTACCACACAATTTTTGAACCCCAAAATAAAATGTTTATTACAAAATTTGACACACAAAAATAATCGTGCGTGACGTGACGTCTTGATTCTTAGAAAGTCTAATCAATCTTAACTAATACTTTTCCTACTCATGAAAATACCAATCCCTAACAGCAATACCCGTAGTATGGACGAATAAGCAAATTATCATTATGTTCAATCATGTTTCAGAGTCTAACAGCTCGACCAGCCACGCGCTGACAGCCGTCTGGATATTTAATCACGACTGGCTCTTACCACCCCAACTATACTTGTAATTCGGTTTATACCAACTCCATTGGTTGATATTCTTATTCCTATTTTAGATCAGTATTAAAGTATATCTACACCAGACCACCTATTCATAAAAACGTTAAACCTCTCATAAATCTATTTTAGCTATCGAACTATTTTGTCTTTTTCGTTTATGCTAAATTCCTGATTTGAATGAAAGTGACAAAACAGTGTAATAGTTAAAATAGGTTTGTAGGTGATTTTAGTTTTTATGAATATAAGAGTAAAAGTATGATGAGAACAAAAAAAGAAAATCAGAATTTAAAATCAATACCAATAATATGCATGAACAACGTAACATATAAAATGATAGATACGTTAATGCTGTTACTATTACTGTACATACTGTATATACTGTGAAATGAGCAACTAAAGAATATTCTTACAATACTATCTATTAACATCCCACTTCTGGGCACATGTCTCTCTTAACACAGAGAGGTGAAGGAAGAGGACATACTCTTGAACTGTTGTACTGTTCTTTATTCCCTTAAATATCTCTTACTATATCCTGGGAATAAAATTAAAAGGTGACTCATTGTTTTATTATTTCACCACCACAAAAAGATTTGTTATGGGAAACAAAAATCCATAATAGAGATAAGCAGCATAGGTATATCTCTAACTGTGCAGAACGAAAAAGCAACAATGAAACATAAATACCGTATAACGAAACGATTTGAGCCCACGCCGTAGACCAATTGTGACTCTATATGCACTGCGCATACTTGAATTCGATGTTACAGAGGACATATTAATTGGTTATTCCGAATTCCTCACAGGCGTAGACGAAGTTCACGGAACGTACACAATAGAGTCACATCACTATGGTACACCATGAGTTCGAGCTATCAAGGTGTGTGAAGGTGAGAACAGAGGTTTTCAGGCCTCACCACATCCATTGTAGTGGGGACCAATGCCAAGACTGAATTGTTGCTTACTGCGACACACGAAGTGAGCATAACAATGTAATTGCAGCGAAACGTTCCTTGAATAGATTCATGTAGGTACTGACCAGCCTCCTATATTAGTGATTTCACTTGTTATCTGTACATGTGATAAAATGAATTTTGTTTTTTTTTTTCATGGCTTGGAACAAGCTGACGGTCACCCTGATGGTATTTGGTAACTGTTGCCTATAGACACGAATTGTCTATAGAATATACAATGTATTTGTCACGCCCATGCTATGAATAATAATAATCGTCCGTGGTATCCCTCATGCGTTTTGTTCTTAAGGTTAATATGTTCCTCTGTAGTAGGTACTTCATATCTAGTCATTTCAATCATTCAGGACAGCCGTACAAGTTTTGCTGCACGTATTTTATATATTCTACGCCGTGTGGTTCTAGCATAGAATGGACTACCCCTTCCTTTCCCGTGGGTGTCGTAAGAGGCGACTAAGGGAACTTAATGGTAGAGAGACAGCTTCAACATCCCTCCTAAAACATCACTAAAAACCTAACTACGGTTGCCGGCTCGCTTGCCAAGCGTGGCAACTACTGGAAAAACTTCTCATATGGGGAAGGCTTATGCTCAGCGGTGGACAGCTAACGGATGATATGATGATAAATTAATGTAATGTATAGCATAAGACACAAGGGGATGTCCCCTTGTGTTTCTAAATTACAAGTTTTTTTTTAATATAAATGAATCCATAAATAAATAAATACCATCAAGGATGACAGTTGGACATTATATTTTCAAAGCACATTGATGAAAACCATTGTTACTCTAAAGGCCAATTTCTATACATAAAAGGTCAACATCAAATATAATACCTATTAGGACAATTAAGAAAGTTATTGCTTTCCCTGAAAAAATGTTTGTCATAAAAGAAAACTATATGTATTTTCTGTTTACTTTGTGAACTGAGATTAGATGGATAATTAATTTTTTTTTAAACTTGCATGTCTCATGAATATAAGAAAAACTTCTAATGAACATATTTATATAATAGCCATTATATCATCTGTAGCCAGACAAAAAAATTTGCATTGTTTCAGGTTGAATCAGATTTTTGCTTCTTAGTCATATATGTACCATTTATAATAAATTTACAATATATCAATATAACAAATATCATGTGTTAAAAATTCATTTTAAATAATATTAATAAAATTAAGTGCATATTACTTAGACCAAATCTAAAGAAGAGTATTATAATTTAAAGATTTATTTTTAGAGTGGCAAAGTTAATATTATACTAATACCAAAACATTGCAAAAATAAATTTTATCAAAATTGGTTCAGAATTGGCATATATTATGACCTTAATATATACAGAAAAAAGGCAAAATAAGATAATTATTTTAACCTTAATTACAAAACAGAGAATTTTAGGTTATTAGTTCTTATTTTTTAATAACTTAGATCCTATAACAATAAAAAGAATATTAAGTTCTGACAATAAAATTATTACAAGGTTTATTAAGGTAAATAATTTGTAAAGAAATCCACAGATAATTTACACATTCATAGCACTCAATTTTATGCATTAATTGAATACATGGGTGAATAACAGGAAGGAAATATTCATCACTTATTTGAAAGTACTAACATTGAAAGGTAACATCACATGAATAATTTTTAAAAGAATAATATTTAGCAGAATATCATATAATTGTTACTATTAATTTGTACTGTTCCTCATTCAGTCTATAATAGTAAGAAAATAAAAAGCAAAGTTTAATGATTAAAGATAAAGCAAAATCTGTTGCATTAAAAACAAAACAAATAAGCAAAACATAAAACATACCTAATAATAGCAAATAATTGTGAAATATACAGTTACATTATAGCCTTATTAAGTTTGGAAATGTTAAAAGGGAAATATTGCAACTATTGATATACAAAAAACCACCACTCTCTTGTCTATACTAAAAATTACACTTAAAACTCCATGATTTAAATTAAACTTTAATTTTAGAATGTTGTTTTTTGTTTCTGTGTATATAGGTTTTTTAATATCAATAGTTTAAACTAGCAGTTTCCAATTCAATGTTTCGCTTATCACAAATAAAAATATTAAATACAATGAGAAATAAATGAATTAATGACCTTTCAAATGGAAAAATGATGGGTTACACACTGCTCCAAATAGAATAAATGTATAGCACAATAAGGTATAATATTTATTGAAAATGCCAAGTTAAATATACCTTTGGTGTAATGTATGAATAATTGGATTGATTTACATATATTTTAGTTGAGAATACTCGACTGGGTTTGGGGCCATCCAGGACCCTTCATCATAAGTGACCTGATTAAGATTGTTAGCCAAGCATTCTCGACTAAAACACATGTAAGTTAATCCAGGTATTCTTACATGAAAATATAATATATACTTACGAAACTTTTAACAATTAAATACCTTCGGTGCGTTGGGCACAGGTCCTGATGAGACACTGTAAGACTGCTGACTTTGAACAGGTGTATGACTATGCGGTGGATATCCTTGGTATTGGCTGGATTGGTGCCGTTCACTTGGTTGTGGATATCCAGGTTGGGGATAATTGGACTGAGCAGGCTGGGGGTAACCAGATTGAGCTTGTTGAGGGTAACCAGATTGAGCTGGTTGAGGGTAACCAGATTGAGCAGATTGTGGGTATCCTGAAGTTGGATAGCCTTGAGCAGCATTCGGTTGTGAATAACTCTGATTAGGTTGAGGATAAGGCTGGCTTGATGGATAGCCAGAATTTGGCTGAGGGTAACCCTGGGCGTTAGGATAGCCAGGCTGCGGTGCTGGATAACCCATTGTAGGGAAACCAGGCATAGGCATCGGGTTCCCGAAAGATTGTGGGGCCGTGTTGCTAAATCCAATATTGTGTAGGTATTGTTGACGTGGGTATGGCGATTGACCCTTGAAATGAAAGGAAAATGCACGTAAATGCACAATTGCATTGAATATTTTTTTGTTTTTGTGATAAACAAAACATGCAACAGAAATCAATTAACAAAAATAATATCTATTGACTGTTGAACACTACTTACTTGCTGATAGGGATTCATTTTGATAGAAAAGCGGTTAATCTACTTTCTTATTCGGATTCAATTCACTTGACTCACTACGTTTCACTTCACCGTAACTTTGCGAGGACTGAATTTAAATTCCAATAAAGGGGAATATTACACAATAAATATTTAATAATCGTGCGATTTTTCCTTACACTTTGAAACAGGTAAAAGTGACTAAAGTTTAAAAATAATATTATACACACAATTTAAATAAGAGGCAATGTTTTTAGGACAATGCTATAAAATGGAATGAATTGAAATTGAATGAAAACCGGTTTTTGCTTGACAGAGAGCGAAGTCTCTGCAGCATATGAACTAGAGAATGAATGATTATGATTGTATTATTTAAGAGTCGACACTTTACTAATAATAACAAAATTGGAAAATTATTTGTGCAACCACCCAAAAAAATACAATAAATGATTATAAATTAATACTCATAGTAATAAATTATTTTTCTTTATTTTTTTTATCCTTAATTTATTAGAATTATATTTGATTATTTGCTACGTTCAAGGCATTTTCAAGGGTTTACATTTGTTACAAAAAAATCTTACTAATATAATAAAATGGTAACTAGATATAAGACGATAGTTGTAAATTAGAGATATTAAATATATATGTATATATACAAAGTTAAAACTAATTATAAAGTTTAACTGTTTGTCTGTCTGTAATGGTCTGTCTGTCTGTTTATATATATTCTAATATTACATAAAAAAACTGGTGTATATTTTATTTGGTACACTATTATTAATTATTAATTTACCTACTTCTAAATACCAAAATACCATATGTATATAGTAACTGTCTGAAAGCTAATTAATTACAAATAAATTAATTGAAGATTTGTTTCAATGTTGTGTTCATAGTATATAAGTACATAGTATTGTATAAATAATTATAATACAGTTCTGTTTGAAATATGGGTAATGATAGACATTATGAAAGGTCCAGTTATTTCTTGGAAAACTAGACATTAATTAGTTAATAATTACATAGATATTTACAAACGTCTTTTTCTTAATTGAAGTGACGCGGTCCTGTTTTTTGGTACAGCGCTGAGAAGAACATCGCAGATGTTTGCAGATTTAGGATCATAATTTATATATAGATAAATACTGAGATGTAGAACCAGTGATAGAAAAGTTAAGAAGTAACCGTTTATCCTGGTATGGGCACGTGATGCGCAGAAATGAGGAGCATATTTTAAAAAAGGTATTAAGAATGAACGAAGATGGCTATAAGAGCAGAGGAAGACCTAAAAAGACATGTATGGATTGTGTGAAAGATTTATTATCTCTAATATCTGATATATCTTGAAATACTAGTAGGAAGATGATAATGACTGAGATGTAGAACCGCAAATACTATCCTTAATCTATGTCTCGGTCTTGTCTATAATTTATTATCTCTAATATCTGAAATCTTGAAATATAGAATCCTAGGTAGAATGTATCTAATCTACCATGCAATGCTGTGCCACAGACAGAGTAATCTTGCCACAGAACTGGATAACGTAGAAAAAGAATACTACTCATTAAACTACTAATTTAATAAATTAAAAAAAATAATCTAAAATGGAACTTTTCACATCATTGCTCATTATAAAATTACCTAGCGCCCATCTCACCTATTTGCAAAAATATGTCTGAGAATAAATATATTGTTTTTTGCAAAGGATCCAGTTCTGGAAAATAATCTTATTTTAGAATCTATTGTATATAGAAAATAGTATTTCATCTGAGATTTGAGCCTTGATATTTGATTAAGAAAGAAGTTCTCAATTCAATATATTTACACAAATTCTTCCACATATCTTCGCCTTTTCTATTCTGAAGTATTAGTTCTACAATTTTAGAAAGAGTGGTACATTTTAGAAAGAATGAAACAGTTTGGACAATGTAAAAAATTAAAAGAAACAATATAACTCAAAACAGATTTTTTTTTTGTTTCATGTCTTTTAGACTCACAAGTTACAGATATTTTACGATTTAAATTCTTAACAACACACTTTTCTTACTGTAACAATTTCAACAGAAACTGTTGGTACTATTCAATGCCTTCAGATAATATTTTGTAAGCTTTCTTCACGTTTTCTGTTATATCTCTTACGGGCTTATCATTCACTACCAGCCATGTGCTGCCACTTTCACCTTTCTTGTATGCTTCAATTAAACCTGCGGCCGCTGATTTAGAACTATAAAAAAGAATACAATTATGTATATAAATCGGTGGTAAAGAAGTAACATTATTATTACAGTACAGATAATACATGGATCTATTTAGATATGATAATTCGATGAAGATTTCTTATAACAACAAACTTTGCTAAAACTGCGCGAATGATAGCTAATTGTAAAAAATGGTAGGTATTACTACTAATATAGTATTATAATTATGGCCCCGTAAAAACGAGTACATGCCATAACCAAGACATATCTTTGGGCATAGCTGAAACTCGATTTTTGAAGGTGTTACCAGACTATTTTGAGGTGGGCAAGGCTCACCTGCCCTTCCTTATATACGCCTATGTTTTACAGAGTTTTACATTTAAAAATACTTTTACTAAAATTATAAATAATTTTACATATTTGAAAATATGTTTAGTATCTATCCAATTTAATTCAACGAAACTTCGAAACGACATCAAATTTTATTTTTATGGTTTACCTTTGTATTTGTAATTCATTTATTGACTCCATTAAGTTATCGTTAGTGTATTTATCGAAAGCGCCGACATTTCTTTCTAAGACTAGTGACGTCTTCGTGGCACCGAAACACATTGTTATCACTCGAACTCCAGTCCTGGCGTAGTAATAATCCAACTGTAATGTGAAAAAGTGTAAGATAACATTATTATATTAACTTTTACCTGTACCTTGTACGCATCGACTGTGAAAATAGGTAAACCAATAATATCGGCCATTTCTAGAAGGTATATCAAGACAGATAGATAGATACTCTTAATTGTTTCCTACAAAACATTTTGATAGTAAACTTATTATAGACACAAAAAATCACTAGAAATGAGCACACTGAGAAAACAATGGACGCCCTTATCGCTACAAGCAATCTCTTTCAGACAACCTTTTCCAGTTAAAGTTTTGGATTTTTTTTTTATACAACTTAAAATGGCAAACAAGCTGATGGCCCACTTGATGAAAAGTTATAACCATCGCCTATAGACATGTGCAGTACTATGGACATAACAGAGTATACTTTTTCGCCCATGATACCCACCAGACGAGTATGTACACTTGGAACAATTTGTTTGACTAGGTAAGTCCAACTTCGTGGGGGGAAAAGGATTGTTAGTAATGAGATCTAAAAGCCCCATTGCTAGTAATATACTCTATCAGGTCGATCTCCATGTTGTTCTCCCTGGAAACCGTAGTAGTTGTTGAATTCGTGACGATAGGTCAACTGATCTGCTTTCATCCATACCTATTATCACTTACTGATACCCCAACAATGTTTATCGACAGCGCAAGCGGGTATACTATTCCATTTTCATCCATTAAAAAAATCAACACCGAGAAAGTAAATGAAGGCAAAGCAAGCTGAAGTAGAAATGGGCTGGTCATATAGCTTGAAGAACGTACAACCAATGGGGAAGAAAGCTTTTTGAGTGGCAACCCCGTACAGGAAAACGTTCTCCCACTAGATGGAATGAGGACTCAAATGTATTGCAGGGAGTCAGTGGATGTAGGTGGCTTAGAACCCTTTCTTATGACAGTTAATGATTGAAATTATGAATGATGATTCGAATCATTATAGTAGCCAACAGCCATAGTGGCCAACAGTCAAATGAGTTGTAACTGTGATGATTTAGGTATACTCGTATCATGTAAATTGTACTTTTGTTACTTACGCCAAGGCAATTACTGAATTGTAAGACTGCACTTTTAGTGGCGAAATATATAGGTACAATTGGATATTGAACTAATGCTGCAATTGACGCTATGTTTATAATTGTTCCACCTCGTCCACCTTCATCCTTGCGCATTAGTTCCATTCCTTTAATAGAACTAGTACACACTGCCGTCTGAAATTATAATAATGGTTAAATTGGTATGTTATATTACCCTATTATGCCAGTGAATAATTAATAACTTAATATATAAAAGTTAGATGCCATAAGACTTAAATTTCTTGAATTGTGATCTATGTATACACATATCCCTCGCAACTGCCTTCTATTGAGGTAAATAGAAACAATGGAACGCCAAGTACTCCCATTCAAACAGATCTCTTTCGCTTTCTCCACATTAATCAATCTATTCATTCAGACTCTTTACGGTTATTTTTCAATTGGTCCCTCTTTAGCATGTCGCCTGTGATATCTGAGTGAGATATCTATCTGCAGTATGTGATTAGACAAATTGTTTTATACGAGTTCAAAAACTAGAAGGTTCCGCGATCAGGTGTATTGTATCTTTTTTATACTTATTTTTATTTGAGATCCATGTATACCCCATGAATTGCCCATTGATCTACTCTTATATTTGTATCTTTTTAATTTTGTATATTAACCTTAAATTGCCATTTTTTCTATCATCCTCACCTATTTTACTTGACTGGTGCCCCGCCAGCATACTCTAACAGCGCAGGCGGGGATATCATTCCATTTTTACCCATTAATGTTGTTCAAGATTTTAAATGGCCTTATTTTGATACCTGATGTTCTTAAGGATATACGCTTGATAGTACCACGTAATTTCAATATTAGAACTGCTAAAATAGTTAACACATTTTCAACATACGCTTGTCCTACTAACTTAGGATTCAATTCTCCCCTTAACAGAATGTTATTATCCTATAATAAAGCCGTAAACGTTGACCATGATATCGACATCTTTGGTAATTCTTTAGTGCAGTTTACTAGGCTTATAAATTATATGGATTGGTAATTAGGTCTTATCTAATTGTATAATTGTTACTTAGTATACATTGACGCTTATCTGTGAGAGCTGTATACACCTTTAATTGATGTGTTCATATGGCCTTAAGCTTGGTAGTGAGGAGTGAAATGTTTTTGTTCAAGTAAACTTAGATTTAAGTATTTTTTAACAGTAGTTATTAACTTTTTACTTACCTATATTATTATACATTGTCTGTTTAATTGTTGTAAGCATATTGTTGGTGTCTTTTATAAATAAATAAATTAATTAAAAAATATAGTAAAAATCATCAAGCTAAAATTAGTTAGCAGACATCCCCAAACTTGCTCAAATTTTTAAGTAACAGTATGGGGTGTATTTGCTACTCACGTAATGGCAAGAGATAATATTCACACATAGATATCACGGAGTACACATTAAAATTCTAGCTACCTCTCAAGCATTACCAATTCCTGAGGACTAAGGTGTATTGTCTCCGAGCCCTGTAATTTTCCTACTATTCCTACCTTCAAACCGAAACACGATCATACAAGCACAGCTGTTTTACTGTACAAATGCAAATGGTTAATGCAAAAAGACAAGGGCCACCCCTTCCTTTCCCGTGAATGTCGAAAGAGATGACTAAGGGAACATAATGGTTGAGGGACGGGCAACAGCATTGCTCTTTAAATTTCACTAAAGCCTACACTACTGTTGCAAACCCTGCTAAGCGTGGCAACCATTGGCAAAAATCTTTAAGGGCCAAGCCTATGTTCAACAGTCTACAGTTATAAGCTGATATGATGATAACGACAATGTAATCATTACTTATTCATACAGACGACATTTGCACAAAGTTTTTGTTTTGTAATATAGTCATATGGGTATGATACCCATAAAACGTAGGTATAGATGTTTGTACATATATATACTAAGGTTTGTTGCTCTCTTACCGCAACTGTTTCAACAACCATCTACCTATACTGTGAACTGTTTCAACATAGACGTACCTACACGCCCCGGACACATAATAAAGCATATTTTATAATTGTAGTAAAAAAAAATACGTATCGGAACGTACCGTTGAATGACAAGAATTTTAGAATACATTTAGAATAAAAATATTCAAATTTAAAACACAAAATTTACAAACAGTTTTTTACTCCACCTTTGGGAAATCGAATAAATATGGTGTGCCTAATTTATAACTCTCACTGGTAAATATATTTTTTATATATTATACTACCTTTTACCGGTGACTTAGTCCACGTGAAAGGGATATATTTACTGACCGGAATAAAAATGAGGCTATATCCTTTTCCATCCATATACGAATACTATGTGTATACCAAATTTCAAAGTGATTGATTAAGCCAATAAGGCGCTATAAAGTAACAAAGAAGCAAACTCAGTTTTACATTTATAATATAAGGATATATTATATTTAAAATATATTTTTTAGAAAGAGTAAATGAAATAGATCACTTATCTATGGGGTATCAAAATGAAAGAGATATCAGATTTTAAGTTACACATTCAGGAATACAACTGTGAAAACTGTATTTAATTTGGTGTCGTAGGTTTTGCATGATGCTGGATAAACATACAGACAGACAAGCATTTTTTTTATAACACAAAGATAGCAAATAATTATACGGATCACCTGATAGTAAACAGTTACCGTAACCTATGAATGTCTGTAATGCCAGGGGATTTCGCGCGCGTTGCCGTCCTTGAAGAAACCTCTTCTAAAAATTATTGTTTTGGCTTCTATCGCTTTTATTAAGACCTTATTTTCTTAAATAATTCCCATGCATAGACATTGTTTAATTATAATTTATTATTATTATTTTATTATTTATATATTATATGTCATGATAATTTCAATGAAATTTGGTAAACATCAGAAAGACCATATTCTGTGTTATCACAGCAGTTGATTGTACTATAATTCATATGAGGAAAGCCGCGGATCATAACTAATGAATAAAACACTTGCCACATTTATTTCAATTTCCTTCTTATACTTCTCCAAGGAATCATTCATGATGCCAGCGTTATTGATCACAACGTCTATAGATCCAAAGGTGTCGATCACTGCCTTATAAGCGTCAAAGAGTTGGCTATCATTAGTCACATCGCATTTTATATATTTTATTTTATTTTTATTGATTATATTTTGTACTATTTCCGCAGGATTTCCGATATCCAGAATTGTTACATGCTGAAAATAAAATAATGTGGCATTAAAACAAGGGAACGTTGTTCCACAAATTTGCCAGTTAATTGTAATAAATACATCGATGTACGTTGAGATATTTAGTAGACATTAGATCGAAAATATTTCAATCGCGTACGTTTGTGAATTTCTAAATAAAAATATTTTAAAATAGGTAGACTTTGTTTAACATTTTTTTACTTTTTTTTCGTCCTCCAAAGACAAATTAATATAGGAGCAAAATATAATGCAAAAATGAAATGATTCGTATATCGGCAAAAATAAGCATTCAGAAAAAAATTATGAAATCTTAAATTATTTATTACCTTTACATTTTCGTTGTCGACTAACATTTTTACAACATCAGCGCCTATTCCGCTCGCGGCGCCGGTAATCAGAACCACTTTGTCTGCCCACGAGTACGACATTATTTCACCGCGATCAAACACGATTTACATCGCGTTTCCTTATTTTCAACTTTTATATGAAGATCTATATCATATACCTATTGTTAAACTCTATATATACTTACTTATTTACTTAAATATAAGGTATGCTACTATATACTGAAATAAAGTATACAAAAGACTGACTGTTTTGTGTCTTTTCAGGTGACTTCCAAAAGATTACATAAAATTTATTTGTGACAAATTGAAATTGAAATGTTAAAAATTATGAATTTATTAACTTTTTTTTTTTATTGATAGAAAATGGAATAGTAACCCGCCTGCGCTAACGGGATTCGCTGACGGGGCACCAGTGAAGGGTGATCGATGAGGATGAAAATAGACCTAACTGGCCTGTTTTCATCATGATGAATTAATCAGGAATTAATCATGATAGTTTCCAGGGGGAACCGCGAGGAGGTCGACCTGGTTGGGTATATTGCTAGCAATGGGATTCTTAATCTCCATTACTAATAATTCCTTACCCCCCAATTTATTAACTTTGATAATTATTTTTGGTATTGATATGGTTTATTTCCGTATTAATCCTATCTATATAAATTTAGTCGCTTCTCCATTTGAAGTAGCTGTTTTAATTTATAATCTACGCATAGAAAATAATTCGTTTACAAATGTTCAATATACTTATTTTATCTCATCTTATATTCGCATATGGGGTCAGCTAAGCCGTTGCACGTCGACCGATCTTTTGTGCCTCCTGCCTTATACTATTGTTTCAGAGATCTTATGTGTTACGATATCTCGCGGTTTAAGATATCTGTAGTCCCTGGCTCTAAAACAACCGTTCCCAGTAGCATACGCATACTTGTCAACGAAGTGTTCCATGAATTCTGATTTCTCACCGTACAGTCTGCACAGTGTGTCCGAAGATAGACCCATCTTGTATAGTATATGCCTTACTGGCATATGTCCAGTTAAGTCATCCATTATGAGTCTTGCTGTTAGGTTAGGTTAGGTTGGTGTCTGCCACCGCTGTAGATGAGTTTATCTCATCCCTCAGCATTATCGTTTAATAACTTTTTAGTATTCACATACTCCTCAAGGACAGAGTTAAGAACACTTGATGCAAGTGGAACATATGGTTTAGGACCTATCATTTTTTATTCTGATATCCCTTATTGTCAACTCATCTGCCCTTTCATTATTTTACCTATATGTCCAGGGACCCATACTAAACTAACCCTACCCAATGCCTATTCAAATTATTTAGGTTTTGAATAGATTAAGGTTAACCTTGAATTCACCCTTGTTGATACAAGTGCTTTGATAGTCGCTTGACTGTCACTTAAAATATAAATATTCTTGTTTTTTTTTTTTATTTTATTATTTATAGCTGCACAGCTGGTAACAGCATGCATTTCTGTTTGAAAAACAGTAGAGTATTTACTTTGACTAATTTCGTTTTCACTTGAAAAGATTCCAGCTCCAGTACCTGTTGCCATTTTGGAGCCATCCGTATACCACTATAGGACATTTTCCTTTAGAAATGGCGGACCATGTTCTTACTCTTCTCTCTGTGGTATATGAACTTTGAAGTTCCTTTTGAAGATGTATTTTGTTGTTATTTTGTCACACCTTATGTCCATATATATTCCCAAGTCTTTATCGACCTCCATTTTTGTGTGATCTGTAAGTGGTATAGATCTGTTCCATAATTTTGTTTCCTGCAGTCTATGAGGCGCCTTCCTTGCCTCCTTTTCAATCACTACCATATATTCAGCGGAGAAAGATTCAATATCATCTCCATTGCTGCTGTTGATGTGCTTTTAAAAGTACCAGATATTCCTAGACATGCAGTTCAATATACTTAATACTAAAGTCTAATAAACTTATTATCGTTTGTAGGTGTATTATTCTTATTGAAATTCCTGTCTTTTATTTTGCAAAATATTCTATATTATCTAGACTGAAACCGAAATTAATAGTATACGTTTAAGGGAGTAATGTATCAGTGAAAATGAACATTTTTGGTAACAAAGCATGGAGAAATATTGAGAAAATATTTTGTGCCTCCAATACTGACATGGCGAGGTCTAACTTTATGGTTAGTTTGGATTTTAAATCATAAATATTCTTTATTGCACTAAAATATACTGTTATAATAACAATTAGAAACAATGCAAGCAAAGTCAACTAAAAACTAAAAGTATAGAATCTACAGTATCGAAGAATATTATGCCATTATTTCTCATGTTTTGTTTGAAAGAAGGTTTAGTCTGGAGTCTCTTGATCAGGGAGTGCATTCCAGAGCCATGAAGAGTGTAAGATAAAAACATTTGATACGAAACCAGTGCGGAGAGAGAGGATTGAGAGTTGGAGAGTAGACAAGAACGTAGGTTAAATTCGTAGCTTAATATTATTGTAATAAAATAGGTAATGTTAACCCTTAAATCAAAAGTTAAGTATACAAAGTAATTAAAGTCTACAAATAAGTATAGAATTAAAATAAAATATATACATACAGGATTGCCGGCTTTTAGAAAACCTCGTGGATGCTCACGCTCTTTTGATTTAACAGTTAGGCACATCATTATTATTTCAGCTGCAAGACGTACACTGCTTGTTGGCCAAGCAAACGTGACTTAAATATAAAATAAATAATGAGATAAGGATTATTTTAGTTATATTATGATGTCTAGTGTCGTAGGTGCTCCGCAGTCACTATTTACCTCTCGTGGAAACTGGAGCCCCCGAGCATTCAAGAAATCGGCGCCCCTGTATATATACAATAGCAAATGGACCATATTACTAGGCGTTTGTCGGGTACTTTGCGATTAGTGATTTCAAATCAGCAATGGAAACTATCTTCCTCCGGTCGTTGTTAGGAAGAATGATAGCTACAGAACCATCAGCAGACCGGCATTTTCTCATGCCAAAGTGATTACGAGCCACAACAAACATCTCGTTATACTTTAATTGACAACTTAGAGATATATAATTTGAAGCCTTTTAAAGTAGTTTTAGTTTTCCATACCATGGATCAGAACTGCAGTGAAGTAAACCGAACAAAAATTAGGCGATCAGAATCCTTTTTAATATCTTATCTGTGGCAAGAAAAATTCAACAACATTAGGCTCTACAGTACTCAGTTTCATTCTATCAATTAATATCTTCAACAGTTTTTAGAGGTGTCCACATTTGATATCTCTTTGATATAGTGTAAGTATAGTAGGATCTTTCTACGGGAGTGGGTATCTAAACGATCTTGTCCAAGTTGAAGCAGTCCACTTGCAATTTGAGTAAACTAAAACACTTCCACATAAATGTTTTGAATGTAATATAGCAGAAAACGCTATAATTGTGGTACTTGTTGAAGTAGGACCCTCTTGCTGCATACCCTTCTTCGAATTCTTCCATACAGATGCTCAGAGCGCCAATATTAAAGATATATATTATAGGCTTGGGTGGATTACATACCAATCTTAAGCATCAATATATTATGTATATTATATATATATTTTCGACGATTAATAGGTATTATATGTATGTATTTATACTGTGTTTGTGACATATTTTTGAACGTATATAATTTTTTAACGTAATTTTATAACGTAGTATAATTATAGCTCACTGTTATGACTATTAGGTTATATTTTGTATTTTTTGTTTAGTTTTGTTATAAAAGTTTTTAAAAATAGAATATGACAACAAAAATATTTACGTTTAAATTGGATAAATAAATCGTTATCAATTGACCGGTCATAATTGTCAATGACTGTTATTAAGCTCATTTCACCTCATCGCAAGATAATATTAACATCTTGATATACTCTATGTATATTATCATAATATATTTTATAAAAATGCAATAATAATATTAAATAACCTTAGATTATATAGATAGAGCAACGTGTCTCATAAACGGGTCTACTTTTGTCAACTAATTGTCAAATTAACTAACTTGTTTTTTTTATCAGTTTTCTACATATTTAGAAAGAAAGAAAAAAAAATATTTACGCACAAAATGTGACTTGACGTATCTTTATTTTAATTGTTTAATAAATATAACGAGTTTTTACGCATATAAACGATGCAAAAATTATAAATACAAAATAAATATAGAAGTTATAGAGGAAACACTCATAATTATTTATCACGCAAAATTGCATGAAAAAGTTAACTCGTTTTTCTGGAAGATTTTATTTGGAGACACTCTATCTACATAATCTAAGTAAATAGACTATGTTATTCTACACGACTAATAGTACGTGTGAACTAAAGTCACGATAACTGGTTCAGTTGTTAAGATATCAGGATTAATAAATATTATTTTACTAAATCTAGCTTCTATTAGTGTAAAATAAAAACACTTATCTATTGGAGATAATATTATGTTGATAATTATAAAAAAATAATCGTCACTAAGTCATAAGAACTCGACTGTAAAATTTCTTTTTTTTTTTTAATTTATTTTATACTCTCATCTTAACTATCATATTTATACGAAACAGAATGATGTATTTATTCTATTTATAAAAATCTGTCTCTATCTAACTGTTTTGACTCAATTCTAAAATATAGCGGTTATTAAATACTTAATAAGGTGTGAATGAAACAGTCAAAATAAAAACACAAAAATACGTTATAAATTTTATAATTCAATTTTATATAAAAGCAACAATTTCCAATTAATCTGAATATTATATAATACTTCTTGACATGTATTACTCATTAATATATTCATGTTTGTTATATCCGAATGTTTTATATTCAATATGTAATTCCCAAAAATATATGATTACTAGCAGATGGCGCTGGGTAATAGTTTTAGTGACATTTGTTACTGTGATACATCGTAATTAATAATTAAAAGTTGTTAATCAAACACATCTTCAGACATTATTTCGTAAGCTCTCTTTATGTTGTTTGTAATGTCTTTGACGGGCCTGTTTGTTGTTGCTAGCCATGTACTGCCACTTTTACCTTTCTTGTATGCTTCGATTAAACCACGAGCCGCTGATTCTGCGCTGTAACCATTACATAATTACTTAAGTAAATAAGTTATTAAGTGGTGTAATTTTTAAATTTCATACGCTGAAATGAAATCTAGAATTTAATAGACTCTGTCAATAATGTTTTTTTTTTTCTAGTGGGATGCAAATGTCAGCTTCCACTTAATTGAATTCCAACTTTCTTAACCTATGTTACACTTTTGAGTTTTTAAAAAAGCTCATTTATTATATGTTTTTTTTTTTATTAATTTATTAATAAAAAAAGAAATATAAATATTAATTATTTATTTTTAAAACAAGTACAATATGCAATTTAGTAGTTTCAATTCATTATCATATATTTAATAGTTTAGTGTTAATTTTTTCAATATTTTCAAATATTATTTCTCAACGTTTAAATTAGCTAGCTTTTATGATAAAAATAATGTAAAATGCTTTAAATACCTAAATACTATTTTTATTTTACCTTTGCATTGGGAATTGTTTTATAATTTCCACAAAAGAGTTATGAGTGACTTTATCGAAAGAGCCCAGTTTACTTGTAGTCAGCAGCGAGGTGTTTGTGGCGCCAAAACACAGCGTTATGACGCGGACCCCGGTTCTGGAGTAAAACTGGTCCAACTGTGTCATAAAAAAAGTTTCTATAGTTGTCTGTGGCTTTGATTTTTGTCTGTTCAAGTGTTTAAATTTATAAAAACATAAAAGTAGATAAAGCAAGAAGTTGTAATATAAAATTTATTTTAATATAAAAAAAGAACTAAAAGCAAATTAATCTAAATTATTATCGGTTTCGCATGGGAATATTTGTTTATGTAAATTCAAATCGTTCAATACATTTTATTAAGGTTGGTATTTTGGCGTGTGTGTAAGTATTGTACTGATATTCTCGTATTTTGTAAATTGTTTTACTTATAGAAAGATACATTATCACCGAGTATAATAGGCTATATGTTATTTTAAAAACATAAAAAATTAAAACAATGTATTCTAAAGTACAACAAATTTTCTATATTAAAGGTAATTTAAAATACCAATTCATCTTTGATATATATCTACCCGTGCGAAACCGGGACGGATCACTAGTTAATTTATAAAAGACGGTAATTTAGCGGTAGCGTTTCGTGTAGATTGTCTCAAATTATATTTGCCCGTTGTTTTCAAACAGGCACTTGGTCAGTTCACTATTGCTTTAATAGTTAACATATAAATCTTATACCTACAGTTGTAATTACAACTTATAATGTCAAATTGTAAGCCGAGACCTAGGTATGTTATTAAAGTATATAAAATGAGTTTATTACAATTAAAAATATGCGAATTAATGGCTTAATACAAGTATTATCTATTTATATTGATTGGGTAACGGTTTTGGTTTGGTTTGGTTTAAATTTATTGGGTCTCTGTGCTTTTTGTTACTATAACAGATAACCCAGAAGAGAAGGAATCAATGAATTAAATCTCATGACTATCTGATTATAAATTACTGCGTATTATAAAATGACAATAATATATGATATTGTTGTAGTCAGGGGGGGAAAATAGCCTCCTCAATAATTGAAATAAAAGATCTATCCATCTTATATTTAAATTATGAATTAATAAATATTCTAAATACGAAAAAATAAATTGTATTTATACTTACGCCTAAGCAACTGCTGAATTGCAGAACTGCACTTTTGGTCGCAAAATAAATTGGCATCATAGGATGTTGAATTAATGCCGCAATCGATGCTATGTTTATAATTGTTCCCCCTTGTCCCCCTTCATCTTTGCGCATAAGTTCCAATGCTTTAAGGGAACTAGTGCATAGGGCTGTCTGAAAATATAGACATATTAAAGTATAGAAAGAGAAAAAAGTCCTTTTATTAGGTTTTTTTTTCTTAATAAAGTATTTCGAACATTTCGTTTTCGTCGACGTGTTAGTGTCTTCACAAATGGAAACACGAAGGATGATAAAGTTATTCTAATATTGTATTGAAAAACGATTGTTTAATATTTTAGAATAAATAAAACGAAAGTGAATAATAAAGCGAATACTATATCATAAAACTGAGGGAGTAAGAAATTACATAAAAATTGGAAATATTGCAAGATTTCCTTTTTTAATAACATGACTGGTAATGAGAATTAAGCCGAAGGGTACGCCCGTTGATTATTTGCACCCTTATTTATGGAGTTCGTGGGAGCAAGATCAAAATTCACTTTGATGAGTGTGTTGTACCAGTAAAATAGTCATTTTACTACTACATTTAAATATTTTTTTGATAAGCCACAGCATATAAGCTGTTTCTTGGCAGATTTTATTTACAAGTTGGAATGGCCGCCGAACTTGGTCACCGCCATTGTGATAGAAAGTGACCCCCCGTTGCTTATAGATATGAACATAATCAAAGACATCACAGAATAGATTGTGCATGTTCATATCCATGCCACGTTTTGTGAGTCGCCATTCCTAAAGTAAGTCCTGGAAGTGGTAGGCTTTCATTCTCTGTTGGAAATTTTGTGTTCTGTAATTGCGTTTAATTGGTTTATCATCTATATATTGCGATCTATTAGTTACATCACCTAAAATCTACGCTCTTTAAAAGTGGCTTTTAAAGTAGTTTAGACTTAAAAACATTGCCGATAAAAGTTACTGAAAAATAAATACCTACCACATTCAATTCGATTTCTTTCTTGTACAAGTTTATGGCATCGTTCATGATACCAGCATTGTTAACGACCACATCTATATATCCATAGTTGTCCAGAACGTCTTTGAAGGCACCGAAAAGCTGGCCATCATCAGTCGCGTCACATTTTACGAACTTGACTTTATTGCGACCGTATTTTAAGTTGAGAGTGTCTTGTAATGTGGTTCCTGCATTATCGACATCCAAAATTGTCACATGCTGTAAAAAATAACATATTTTTATTTCAGACCATTACATAGATATTATTTACATGCAGGGTCTTGGTATGGTATTTGTCGTATTATCTTTCATAATATGTAGCGTATTTTTGTTTAAATTAATATCTCGGTTTTAGGCTTAGAATTTCGGGATTTTAAAGCGACTCCATCGTTTTAATTTATTGATTTTACAAATTACAGATTGACAAATTTTTATTTTAGTACATTATGATGATTTGGATATATGATCATTGAAAACAATACTGATTGGGGCCTTATAGCAGATTTTCAACCTGATTTCTGGTTTTGATTTAGTCTTCCCATTTGTCATACGTTAAACATTCATATCTTCTTTTACATTCTTCTCTTGTATCTATTGTCAGTCTTTATTCATTTAGTAACATGATTTAGATTATAACGTTACCTTTACGTTTTCAGTTTCAACTAGAATTTTTACAATTTCCGCGCCGATACCCGTTGCGGCTCCTGTGATCAGCACTACTTTGTCTTTCCATTCGAATGCCATAATTATTCTGAATAAAAAATATAACTAATTAGATGTTTATTTGTTTCTACAACCCATTATTCAATTTCTGTGTCCTGTGAGCGCAAAGATTTCTTCTTAAAGTTTAAAAAATTCCTCACACTATACGTACTACGAACTAAGTAATATCTAGTTCCTGTCTGACTATTTATGTGTTTATATTCCATGCCAAATATATTCTATATACCTATCATATATATTTTATACACCAAATTTCATAATAATTGATACAGCCGTTAAGACACTAAAAGGTAACAAACAAACTCACTTTTTTATTGTTGAAAATTTCGTAAGCACATATTATATTTTATTTGAAATATTACCGGTTTAATTTACGTGTAATTAGATTGAGAAAGCTCGACTAATCTCGTGATCAATTCGTGGTCCTTAATCATGAGCGGCTGTGATCCATCACAACGGTCTAATTACATGTAAATTAAACCGGTAGTTAATATATTAAAAACTCACTTTTACATTTATAATGATAGTAAGGATAGATTCGCTTTTAAAATTTATTGCACTCGATAGAATAAAGATAATAAGTTCATAACACAAATAAGTATTAATATTTTTTCATAACAGTTAAATTACCTGTAATAAATTTTTAGCAAAGTACAGATGACAAGAAAATCACATCAGAGTATCACACCAGTAAGATTGCTTGTTTTTTGTAGGGGGAATTGTTAATTTTATTACTTGTATTTTATAATTAAACTTTTTGACTATAAATAATATAGATAAATGGAGCTGAGATAATATTTGGCGTAATTTAGCTATATCATTCTTGACAATTGTTTAATTCCATAATCTACCTCTTAAAATATTACGTTCTTGAACGTTTTACCAGAGGGAGCCTTTATACAAAAGTCGATTGCTTGGGTACCTGTGTCCTATTCGTGTTTCTACCGTGAAGCATGATGTTTGCATGGCTGTGTTTCGGTTTAAAGGGTGGGATATGGCGTGAATTTACAGGGTACAGAGGAATAACATTTAAGTCCTCAGGAATGGCAACGCATGGGAGGGTATCATGGGCGAAATAATATACTCTGTTATGCTCATGTCTGCTCATGTCTATAGGCGACGGTTACCACTTTCCATCAAGTGGGCCGTCAGCTTGTTTGCCATTCTAAGTTGTATAAAAAAACATACCTATACTTATCATGTCATAAAATGAATAAATTTCTACTTAAATACGAGCAAGTGTCTTCACTATAGATATTTTTTTATTTTATTGTTAATTTTTAGAAATTTTGTTGCTAGTGAAATTGCTAGTAATTTAACCACTAAATGTATCTGACACTTCAAAAGATTAAATTACTGGACATTTTATTAAATTATTAAAGCAGTGCTAACTAGGCTTAACAGCTTAATTGCAGGGTTATATAAAACAAATACTCCTGATCGACTTGTTAACCCTAAGGACAAACGGATATTAAACATTTCCTGTTATGCACTCCTTTGGACATTCAGCATATAAATTCGCAAGCAATTTTTAAATAAATTGGAATAGTTTAATTTTTGTATAATACAATCAAATATTATGTTTTGAATATTTATTTAAAAGAATCACAACTATGTTGTTTTATTAGTAATTTAAATATAAGTCAGAAATATTCACTTTGACAGTCACTTCGTGTTCATGTCTAAATTTCAAATGTTGACGTACCTCGCCATTATGTTTTGTTTTATTTCGAATTTAATTTAAGTAATTGGAATTGTTGAGTGTCATCAAATAAATAAAAATTATTAATGTTTAACTTAAGGACATTTAATAGTTTAATTCTATTTTAATATATTTTAAACATAAAGCATACTGTGGTTGCCTCTAAATGTAAAAATAGTTAGCCGTAATCAACTAGTGTATTGTATCAAAATGTTTCGCTGTATCTTACGTTGGTGATCCTAAATAAATAAATAAAAAGACAATAAAAAAGAAAAAAAACGTATAACCAAATTAATAAGAATACAAAAAGAAAAGAAATGGAAATTGGCAATTGTCACTATTGCTGATGTTTAGCATAATTATGATACAGTACTTAACAATGACTGCCATAGCACCTGATATTGTGCTGATATCTGATATTGATCACTTAATGTACACCTTTGCAAGCCACTTAGGCATAGCGGCATTTGGTTTTCGGTACTCTGTAAATGAACATGGAAAAAAACTCACAGAGTTCTATTTTTAAATTCCTAAAAGAAAGTGTAGATAAGCACCCGAGAAACATTTTATAAGTGCAAACTGTCCTTTTTTAACTGTATATACTTATGGACTTTGTCCGTCTAATATACGAATAAATGATAACAATTGAAACAACACTGCAACTGAATAGTGATAATGAAGTGAAATACACTATAATACGACATACGTATAGTCAAAGAGTAAAATAAATATAACAACGAACGGCAATAAAATACGTTGTTTATCATATATTAATGTTTATTTGGTTAATAGATACAGAAAAGTGTCAGCAACAGTAAAAAAACATCAATGACATTATCATTTCATTAGTTGAAATTGAGTAAAGAATAGATAGATAACTTATTAATAGTATCTTCAAATGAATAGATATAAAATTGTCGATATTAATAATATTTCGATTTATGCCAACTAATGGTTTTCATTAGGAATATATTCTTTTGTAGCCGACCGTACGCACGTTGTGTTATCTATCAATGCTGCACATGCTCAAGCAGGACTCATATATATATACAGTCAACGCTGATAGTAACATTTCGCTACGAGATACCTCAAATAACACTATGGTGCACGAATTGACGAACAAAGTGGTAGTCATTACCGGGGCTGCAACTGGTATTGGTGCACGAGTGGTCAGAAAATTGGTTAATGAAGATATAAAGGTGGGTACTTTGCGTACTCTTGTATAGAATTTTAAAAATTTAAATATCAATATACTAAATGGACATTGGATACGACGTAAATCACCTTCAACATGTGATTATGATGGGCAAAGTTGTTGGTAATAGGATCAGTCGCAGAAAAAAGTCTTGACTATTGCGGGCACTGCGAAAGCAGCCGAATTATTTTATCTCGCAGAAGACTAGGATAGGTTCCGTAAGCTAATAGCCAACTTTCACTAGTGAGGTGGGAAGCGAATGTTAATGATACGGACTACCAGTCCGATTGCTAGCAATATACTCTGTTAGGTAGACTCCCACGTGGTCCCCTCTGGAAACCGTTGTGTCGAATTCCAGGTGTATTCGTCACGATGGGCTAACTGACCTGTCTTTTCTATTTTACCTATCATCACTCACTGATGCCCCGCCGCGTATGTTAGTCGCCGTAAGTAGTACGCCGTTAGCGCAGGTGGGATTACCATTCCATTATCATCCATTAAAAAAACCATAAAAGATATCTTCACTAGGTATAGATTCACTATTGGCTCCGGTCGTCTTCAACTCGGGAACCCGGGGACCCGACATATGCGCCTCGAGGTACGTCGTGAGGTTTTAGTGGGTAAAAATCCCACACACCCCCCCTGCCTTCCCTCCGGCAGTTGGGAAGGTCTTTGGAAGATTTCCTCACGTTAAAAAAAAAAAAAAAAAAAAAAAAAAAAAAAAAAAAAAAAAAAAAAAAGGTGTAGATTCACTATAAGAAGAAGAAATGGACATACCTTTCATATTGTTTTTCAGTAGACACAAAATGCTTTTATAAGTAAAAAAAAGCGTATTTGACACTATAAAAAAAGAACGAACGCATTTTCGATTAAAAATTATTAAAGTCAGTCTAAAATAGACAAAGAAACCCTTGAACAGCGATGAAAAAACATTTTTTTTTCAAGAGAAAGACCGCGACACCAGACCTTGAAAATATTAACAATATCTAACCAACGTAATCTACGTAGATGTCTATCACTATATTTTTCCAATTAGATTCTTTTTAAAGAAGGAGTTTATAATGTTGTTCAAATATTATTATAATTTTTAACATTTCTTTATAAAACCAATAAGGTTTACTCTCATGTAATCTACACGAGAGTAAACGGATTTTAATTTAAAGAAAATTGAAGCTGTCCGTTTTGCGGTGCAGAAAATTGTTATTTACAAAAAACAAAATCCATAAACACGTAATTTAACGTTTTTAAAATTCAATTATTTACAATGTAGGGTATCAACAAAACTTCCTGTTTGTAGAATAGTTATCTATGAAATGTCGTTTATATTGTATCAAAAGGAGCAATATAAGTTATATATGTTATTACTACCAGATTTTCATATTCCTCTCCTTGCTTTTATTCTTTTTATAAAGTCAATAATTGTATTGTTATTTCGTAAAATTTCCGTATTATGTAATACATAAACGTTACCACTATATAGATAACAAATGTAATTTATTTGTAATTAACTTTATCTTTTTACAGCTTGCAGCTATTTTAGATATAGCAGAAAAACAAGGCATTGAACTTCAAAATGAATTAAATGCCAAATATGGAAACAAAGTTAAATATATTAAATGCGACGCCACTAAAGATGACCAGCTGTTTGCTGCATTTGAAACGGTAATTGGCGAGGGTGGATCCATTGATGTTTTGATAAACAATGCAGGGATACTAAATGATGCTTTAAACAGCTACAGACTACAAATAGATTTGAATGTGGTAAGTTTATCACATGTATTAAAAATTAGACGTATTCACTACAGGATTAATAAATTGTATTACGATGTAATGTCATTCCTACACTTTGGAATACAATAAATGGACGTAAATGTAATATTATAATTGAAATTAAATATACAATGAATAAATGAAATATGTGTGACATTATTATGAGCGATGAAGACATAATAGTCGATTCAAAGTGAAGAATGATAAGAAAAAATAGACTATATATATGTTTTAAAGATAAAAGTTTTACTATCTATAAAACAATAAATAACATAAACAATTTTTCAGAAAGCACTAATAACGGGCACGCTTAAAGGGTTGGAGCTGATGCGTAAAGATCAAAATGGAAAAGGTGGAGTTATCATCAATATGTCATCTATAGCGGCGTTGTGCCAGCTACCAGAAACTCCTATTTATTGTGCAACAAAAAGTGCAGTATTGCAATTCAGCAATTGTATTGGGGTACGTTATACTTTTCCCTATGTTTCCGGTGTTGAATAGGCCACCACTTCCTTTCTAGTGGGTGTAGTAAGAGGCGATTAAGGAAGAGCAAGCGATGGGCAACAGCGTTCCTTTTAAAACATCTCTAAAATCTAACTGCGGTTGCCAATCCGTCTGTCAAGTGTGGCAATTACGGGTAGCTCTCCCCCAAAAGGTAAAGACCTATGTTCAGCAGTGAACAGTTAAAGGCTGATATGATGATGATGATGATGTTACACTTTATTAAATATACTCTACGCAATATGTACTACATATATTTGTTCTAAGAAAACTATAAAAAAAATTGTAAAATAAATATTTTTTTTTGTAAACATTTTGCATAAATTACAAAAGGGTAGAAGTGCTTTAGTATTGGACTAATGATAATATGTTATATAATACATGCTTGTTCATTTTTACTTTTCACTTTTTAGGAGATTCTTAATCATTTTGTTTCATATTTTTGTTATATGTTGAATTTAATTTTACACGAACCTCCAACTGATTTCAGATGGACACTTTTTATCAAGACACTGGTGTACGAGTGATCGCAATTTGCTTCGGTGCAACTGATACACCACTTTTACATCTAGAGAATGTGGGAGCATTCGACAAAAAAGCAAAGGAATTATTACCCAATTTACTTAAATCACTTCCTATGCAAACGTGAGTATTTGTTCTGTAATGAAAAAAGATAGTCTGAGGTACTATCTAATAAGCTTTTAACCGAATACAATATTGATCTAAAACAAATATCAATATTGCATTAAACAAGCTGGTGACTGATGTAAAGTGCTAACCGTAGTCTATAGAAGTGAATATACTACAGTAGGTATATGCTGTGATGGCTATGGAACTCCTCATGCGTTGCGGTCTGAGAACTAATATGTTATACTTGGAGATGTTGCTGCTTTATATGCCATTATACACATCTTGTAAGCACAGATGCTTAGTGGTGAAAAGATGAATAGGATAGAGGTAGAGGTATTTATTTATTTATTATCTTATTTTATTTATTTATTTATTTAGTATCTAGCCATATAAACGACTTTTGAGCAAAGCCATAAATTCTACCTATAAGTTCTTTCTCAGTCCACTTTTCTGTTTATTCCTGTTCCAGTCCAGATGAAGCTGCTGCTGGGGTAATAGAAGTGATTAAGAAGGGGGACAGCGGCAGCACATGGCTGATAAGCAGAGGTAGACCAGCGGAGGATATCACGAGTACAGTGAAAAAGGCTTACGAAATACTTACTACCCTTATATTTAAATAAAATTTCTAATGTTATAAACATTTTGCCTGTACACAGTTATATTAATCTATTAAAGTTTTGTTGCTGAACTCGAGTTTCTTTCTATAAGCAGAAATACATATACTTCTTAATTAATAATATAGAAGATGTGTTATAAGTTTTAAGTTAAAAGAACTTAAATAAAAAACAATAACATTGCTAAAAAAGAAAATATGGTGAGTGACAATATAGTTATTAAAATAGTTCCAAGAAATAAACGAGAAAGTTTAAAAGACATAATGGGTGTTTAGTTGTTTATTACTCAACCACTTCCAAAAGCTAAGCAGATTTGAATCAAATAAAATTAATTTAAAGGAAAAGGATGATGCCTCAGAATCTATTCTATTTTCAGATGTCGAGTAAATACATTAAGATTAGCAATTGTCTATCAATTTTCTAAAAATATTTTTGATTGATTATTTAAAAAACGCTTTGCTAGTGAGCTAATACCTTAATACAACATTGCTGCACTTCAGTAAGCAAAAGTATAAAAGTACTTAAAGGAGATGCACAAGATACGGCATCACATCAAATTATTTAGATTGTTTCTCCATACAAATGTTTCTTATCCCTTATCTTTAATCCTTTGTCTCTTATACTTAATAATAATATTATGGTAAACCTATTCAGTGCAGCATGAATAACATAGTTGACCTATTTTTAGCGAAACATTTGTATGGAGGCTCTATTATCTATATAATTTAAAAGTACCTATTAAAGAATTTTTTTATGCAACTTAGAATGGCAAACAAGTTAACGTACCAACTGATGGAAAGTGGTAACCGTCACCTATAGACATGAGTAGTACCATAGAGATAACAGAATATACTGTTTCGCCCATGATACTCCCCATATGTTGCCATTTCTGAGGACTCAGGTGTTATTCCTCTGTACCCTGTAAATTTTCTGCCATATCCCATCCGTCAAATCATGGGGAAAAGTCATTGTTAGCAATGGAGTTTGACAGCTCTATTGCTAGCAATATGCCCTATTAGGTCAACCTCCATGTGGTTCCCCCTGGAAACCATCGTGAACAATTCTAGTTGAATTCGTCACGATGGGCTAACTGACCTGCTTCATTTCACTGGTGCCCCGCCGGTGTACGAGTATAAAGATAGCGCGGGTGGGGTTGCCATTCCGTTATCACACATTAAAAAAAACCCTTTAAATCGAAACATAGCCATTTAAACACAACTGCTTCACAGTAGAATTACGAATGGGACAGAGGTGCTCAAGCAAACGACTTTTGTACAAAGTCTCCCTCTGGTCTCCCACAACTATTTCACAGTTGTGCGCAACTTTATTCGCGTGTAAATTTTTATATTACACAATCTTATTTAAGCTACTCACAATGACTCTTTAATTCTTTACAAAAAATTCCGTAAACCAATTATACTAAATGTTATTATAATTATATCAGCCGTTAACTATCCACTGCTCAATATAGGCCTCCCCCGTAAGGAGGGTTTTGCCAGTAGTTGCTACGCTTGGCAGGCGGGTTGGCAACAACAGTTAGGTTTTGATGATATTTTAAAAGGAATGCTGCTGCCCATCGCTCGACCATTAAACGTACTGAACATTAAAAACTAATTGTACCATCTTATTATGTACTAGTTGCCTCATACGACACCTACGGGAAAGAAAGGGGACCCTTTCTATGCAGCGATCACAAGGCAAATTAATCTAATTTTAAGCTATATTTAATTAAAAAAAAATGTAAATCAATTTGTCTATGTTGATCTATATTTAATTACAAAAATTTGCCTGCAACCAAATAGTTTAATGTTCATCTATTATTAATTTTACATAATTAAACGAAAAATTGATTCTCTATTTGTTGCTTAAAAAAAGATTTTTAACCACTACAAATTAATTATTATGGTTCGTATTTAATTTAACATACTGCAAAAAATTATAATATGCTCGGGAATTAAAAGACTGTGAACAATATTTGTGAATTGGAGGAGACAAAAAGAAATAATGAAAAATAAGAAAATAATTTGCATTACGACACGTTACTACATTTATATATTACTAAACAATATTATTATATCATAATAATGTACGTCGATTTTACTTACATATTTAAAGCTTCGATCTTACGTATTTAATTTCGGGGTTATTCACCTAGTTGCAGATACGTTCTTATTCATGGGCACTTACACGTCCGTGTCGCAAGCAGGACTGCGCGACTAGCGCCCCGAGTGTTGCTTAATATTCGTTGGATTTTAACATCGATTATGAATCGACAGTTGAATCGGAACTACAAATAATTTAATAATCGATTATAATTGATTATGTTACTACCGATTAATCGATACTAGCATATAATTAATATAGTAATGTATGAGTTTACTTAGATATTTATAGTTTAGGTATTCGTATTTAATTTCGGGTTTATTCATTTAGTTTCAGAAAAGAATCCTTACTCATGAGCCCTTACACGTTAATAGTTGTTGGATTTAAATACCGATTATCAATCGACAGTCAAATTGGAGCTACAAATAATAATCGATTATAATTGATTATGCTACTATCGATAAATCCATACTATCGATTTGCAAATGGATATTTATATTACTTTGGATAAATATCGAATATTAAACAATATTGCAACGGAATTTTTTATCGATACTCGCATGCAGTCGGTGGAGGTGGTGGTGGGACTATATGTGCGGTGTAATTAAATAGTTGATAAGTAGGTTGAAGAAATAAAACCAACTTAAATGTATTATTATGCAACAGTATTTAAGATAGGAGATGTTTACAAAATGTTTGGTGAATATAAAGATAAATTGAGAGTATATGCGAGTAGTCCTTGTATGCTTGACCTTAATTACTTTTTTGTACCAAAATATAAGATTTTGTTACCCGAAAAAGAAACATCGACTTCAATCTTGGCAAAAATTTAACCAATTTTGATAAAATTTCTATAAGAACCATCTGAACATATTTTCATACAGATAAGAAAATATTTTTTTAAATTGGTTTATTAATACTTAAAGACTTATTAAAGACTTTGTACAAAAGTCGATTGCTTGGGTACCTCTGTCCCATTCGTGTTTCTACCATGAAGCAGTTGTGTTTGCATGGATGTGTGTGTGGCGTGAATTTACAGGGTACAGAGGAATAACACCTGAGTCCTCAGGAATGGCAACGCATGGGGGGTATCATGGGCGAAACAGTATACTCTGTTATGTCCATAGTACTGCTCATGTCTAAAGGCGACGGTTACCATTTTCCATCAGGTGGGCTGTAAGCTTGTTTGCCATTTTAAGTTGTATAAAAAAGGAAACCTGCTTCTTTTTTGAAGTCAAATGACAAAAGTAGCAAATAAGCGCCCATTCCATTTGTTTGGAATTACTTACAATAGCCTATTCAATGTGATAAATGTAGACACCATGATAATTTATGTCTAATTAATAAAATTTTGCTTTGCCAAAAGAAACTCTACAACGTAGGTAATATGGTATTTTGAAATAGATATGTAAGATAGGTATGTAAATAAGTTTTAACGTTTAGTTTGTATAATTACACCATATGCTTTCAGAATTGCAAATAAGGAACTTGATATAGATAAGTTCTACCTAATTTGAAACGCTGGTATTTCAATAAATATACGTGTACAAAAACTAGAAGTATTTTTTTCTATTGTTTATTTATATTATATATATTTTATTAGTAATGAAAAAATCACTACATTTTAATTAAATATAGTAAAAAATTACCATTGTAAAAACCTTAACCAACGTTCATAGTATATCATGCTCACCTAATAAGGACTGACAACTGAAATGTAGATTACTCTTGTCCATAAGGTACTTAAATAAAAATTAATAAATAACATAGAAATATTTAGTTCTTGTTCTTTGGGTATGTAAAAAAAAAATAACAAAATATTACAAAAATTTAACTTTTTTTAAGAAAGAATAACAAATTATAAAAATAAAACCTACTAATATAATAAAATAAACACTACAACAATATAATATATTTTCTAAAATTATTTAAAAAAGAATTTACAAAAAAAAAAATTGGTAGGCCTTATTAAAATACTGTGCTTTAATAAGACCCCGATACCATAATTCAATTTTAATAAGTTAAGGAACTTCAATCAGTCTTATACGCTTTATTATATAATAATAGGAAATCTGGCACTTCTTCTCAGTTCTACCTATAAATGCAGAACTATTCCTTTTGTGACACCAACACAGGCTTCCTAATTACACATAAAACAGTTTTCCTAAACTTTTGAAGTTTTTTTCACCTCTTAAATGATTTTGTAAGGGTTCTTCTTAAAATACTGAGCATAACAACAAAGAGACAATAACGAGACAGACTTACAACAATTAAAAGTATCTATCTAGATAGATAGATACACTTTTTGTTTCCTCTTAAAGATTATAGTAGTAGATTTATTATAAATAGATACAAACAATTTCAAAATATGTTCACATTGAGAATACAATGGGTGGCCTTATGGCTAAAAGCGATCTCTTCCAGGCAATCTTTGGATGGAGTTAGTTATAAGCAGTTCGATCGGAAGTACGATGAAAATTTTGTTATTTTAAAAACATATGACATACGTACTGCAGGAACAGCCGACACCAAGTTCTCTTTGGATAGAAAAAAAAAGTAGCCTGTTTGACTACTGGAGTAGATTTTGGACAATAATGTGTAATAATAGAAGGAATCGTTATAATAAATAACTGAATAATTATTCACTTTACATATTACGACGTCAGAGAAACATGTTAATAGATAAATAAACGTCAATCAATAAGGCCTATGATCATAAAAAGGCTTATATGAAACAATACTTCGATTAGTATACAAATTTATAATTAAATTCGAATATTCTAAATGACGAAATGCAAAACCACGATTAAAAAGTAAACGTTAAATAAAAACTACGTTGTAAAACATTATTTACTTACCTTAAAATTATGACAATTTTATAACAGGCTTAACAACGTCTACCTCCCACAAAGAATGCGTTGCAAATGGTTTAGGGGCAGAGCACGGGACGCTGGCACCTTGCTTATTATTTTATAAGGCTAGTGTGTACACAGACGGGAAATATCTATGATGTTGTATTAATTTAAGTGTATTTTCAGGAATGTAGGCTTTATTTAAGCATAAGCTTTATTTGTATCAAGTGTCTAAGAAGGAGACAACAATAATCGTCTGCACTACATCTGTCCTACTCGTGTTCCTGTCACCAAGCAGCTGTGCTTACATGTCTATTTTCCGGGTAATAGAATGACTATTTTAAATTCACGGTCGGGGCTTAAAAGAATGAGATTTAATAATACAATTAATTAAGACTCGAAATTTTCACAAAAGAAATAATGATGAATTATTTTTATCATTATTTGTTCTACACTGACCTTGAATTATCTGTAGCGTGATAGAAGTAATTGTAGAACTATACGAATATAATATTTTTTTCTGGAGCAAAAATAATAACAGCAAATAGAGATCGAGGAGGTAAGGATATGTCCTATTAATTTATTTTTAATTTTATTACATAGTTATGGAATGAACTCCCCGTCGAGGCTTTTCCAAAAGACTACAGCATGGGGTTTTTAAAAAAAGGGATACTCTTTATCTAAGTTTCTTCTGAGTACGTAATGCGCGCGTAATGTCTCCAGTATTGCAGGCGTTCACAGGCTATGGTAACAGCTTACCATCATTCTTGTTTGCCTCCTCAGTAGTATAAAAAAATAGTTAAAAAATTATATAAATACAGTAAACGAATATTGCCAAGTGATATAAAAGGCGGCTTCATCGCTAAGTATTCTCGTCCAGACAATGTTAGGGTGCAAAATATTGAGGAAGAATAGGGGGTAGGTCGCCATCCACTTTCTATATATATATATATATATATATATATATATATATATATATATATATATATATATATATATATATATATATATATATATATATATATATATTTATATATATAAATAGAAGGCGCATATATAATAGGAGCATATAACACACATATAACAGGAGAGAATGAAGGAGAAAAGTGATGAGAATACATAGGAAAACAGTACATAAAGGACTATATATTATACTAGGACTTAACAGAAGTTTTGAAGCTAGTGAGTTAGGTCGTTGAGCGTATACACAGACAATGATCCACAAGCGAACAGTCTGGACAGTGAAGAGTTTAAATAAAAAAAAAAGGAATAAGTGGGGAATGTAAAGCGGAGGTTGTTATCACTGCGCGAAGTTATGGCCATTAACCTTACTGAGAAATAAGAATTGATCTTTTAGATAATTAGAAGTAATGGGGTTAAAAGGATCGAGCAATAAAGAGATATGACGACTTACTTAGATATACGACAAAAACGGATGGAGAGCTATTTGAGTCGAGTATGAATTTGAGAAATGTGATCACATGGTCACACATACGTATATTACATTTGCTATCGCAAATATTTGCAATTATATGAATTTTAAAGACCCTCAAATTACTTAGTAGATGGTATAATTGAAAATGGGCGGGAAGTTAGTAGTAGTAAAAGTCACAAAACAAGTAATCACTACGTGTAGGAGTTATATAACCTATTCAAGGCATTTTTTTATGGATGATAATGGAATGGTTACCCCACCCGCGCTATTAGTATACATCGGCGGGGCTCCAGTGAAGGATGATAGGTGAGGATGCAGAAGGTCAGTTAGCCCACCGTGACGAATTCAACAAGAATTTTTCATGATGGTTTCCAGGGGAAACCACGTGGAGGTCGACCTAATAGGGCATATTGCTAGCAATGGGGCTGTCAAACTCCATTGCTAACAATTCCTTTCCTCCTCATTAGTAGCAGCAAACGCTTTTTACTGCCCTCGTAAGACTTACGGATTTTCAATAATTATACAGGGTTTGAGGAACAGGTTGGCAAAAACTGGAAAAGTGAGTACAGACCATTATTCTGAACTAGAAACCAGTGAAAACTCCGTAAAATTTCAAATTTTATCCTGTATTTGTTTTTTCATTTAAAATCATTTAATCTATAATATTATGTCATAATATAAAGAAATAATAATATTTTATAGTAAAATACTATTAATTAAAAAAAAAAAATAGCAATGTAATACACGTATTAAACATCCCAACCTGACGCATGGAATCAGTTGTGTAAAGGTAACATCACAAGTGTGCGAAAACTACCTACGAAGAAGCGACATTGATCGAGCGATAATTACATATATCGTGCGTCGTGTGG